GATTTCACGAAATCGGCAGGATAAAATATTTGTTAACATTTTAAACTGAATATTATTATTAAAAACAAATTTTAAATAATTTTTAACCGAACTAGGCTCCAAATTGTTTTTCGTTATCAATGATTTATCCTTTTTCAAAATAAGGAAAAACTAAATAATTTTATGTATCCTATTTTCACCACTACTACCTACAACATGACCACACCTGTCCCGTGTATCAGCTGTTGTTATTTATTTCTGACAGTTACAAATACAAGTGGCTCAATTATGTTAAATTACTATTCATTTTCAATTTTTACCTTGACGATAAACATTATTTTGTAAAACGAACTATCTTTTTACCTAAATATCAATATCTATCAATAGACAGCGCTACATATTCCGTTTTTATTTGTACGAATGAACATAATTAAACCATCATGAAACAATTATTGAGGCCCTAGTATTCATGTTGTTCAGGCAATTTCTGAAATTTATTCGTAATCATGACTGTAATTGGAAGGGGAATCTAGGAGTCCGAACCCCTCTCCCCCTGAAATTTTTTAATTAGACAAATTTAAGTAATGAATATAGGTCATTCAATATGAGTAGGGTCTATAGGGGAGTTCTTAAATTGGTGCCATGTGCTATACTTTATTATGTCACTGATAACTGATAAGAAACTGGGCGTGGCTTGAATAGTTTGCAAAGGGGTGGAAATTGAATGTGGGTGTGATTTTAACGGGACGTGGACGTAGCCTAAACCGAAGGTGTCATAAGGAACTGGAAGTGGTTATAGCCTAAATAGTAGATGAAGTGATGGACAATTTGGGCGGCCATGTCAAGGTATAACACCTGGCATCTGCACCTGATTAAGAATACCTCCTTATTCTTTACTAATAATAATAATTGTTTAAAGAATTATTTTATGTTATATTTTTAATAACGATAATAAAGAGATTTTATTATTTTAACATAATAATTATGAATGCCCAGAATCTATACAAAAAAAAGGTTAGACCATCCTTCCCCCGAAATTTGTTTCTAGTAACGTTGTTTGTTTGTAATACTTTTATTTCACGTTTTTATCATTATTTTAAAGTTATTTTTATCATGTGTATTGATTTTAGACTAAAAAGATCCTTTTTGACAAAAATATATTCCGCGGTCACGCAGTTCACCCCATGCCGCAATCAACTTAGTGTTTAGGAATGTAAGATCATCCTAATTATTATCCAAAATCGTAGGTATGTTGTATGTTATTATGATGTACATTGTACCTGCAAACTTATTAACGCGATATTATATGGATAATAATGCACAATAAATATCAAAATAAACACAAAATTGTTTGAAAAAAGCGAAAAAAAGAACCAAAACTTGAAAAATGTATTTAAATTTTAAAAATGCTTAAATAAAAATCTACCATCAAACAAAATATTATTTTATGCAACGAAAACGAACGCTGATGGATGAATTAGAAAAAAATTGTTTATCGATAGAATATAATATCAGTTTTATCGATCCAGATAAACGAAATCAATTAAACCCACAGATACCCTCTCGCATAGGACTCGGTAAATGTTTACATTTAGTGTATTTTCATTACGGTTTTTGATGATTAGGAGGAACTCATTCGTTATCAACATAATGTAAACATTGACGTGTTCACTAATGGTTGCCACAGACACACGTTTAATAACGTCGAGTGGAAATATGGTCGTCCGGTATCTATTATTATGTTTATGTATCTGAGATTAAACCGTATTCGTGCTTAACACTGTAGACTGAAAGCTGTGTCCACGTTGTACATCTGTCATACTTTATGTTACTAAGAAGCGCTTTTCTCTTTCTATTTCTTATTAATTACATTATAATTGTTTTATTGCTACGGCACAATAAATATATTAAAACGCCTCAACGGGAATAATTGCAAAAAAGCATTTACAAACAAAAAAAAAATCCGATTTATACACAGAATCACAGAATGACATGAAACGGATTTACGTTGGGTTTCTATCTCCATATAGAAAAAAAGAATCGTACATGCATAAATATCCCAGTCCTATTTAATATTGTATTTTTGCGAGTACACCGAGCGATTTTTTCGTTATAATGTGCAGCATATAATATTATTGTGTGAATAACTACACGACATAAACGTTACGCTTATATCGGATCACGCATTACATTTTGAACGAATTACGTATAGATATTTAATTAAAAAAAAAAAAGAAGAACATTATTATAAAACAATTACGGTGCCGGTTAACGCGTAATTATAATACGTAACGCAATCTGTGAAAAAAAGTTCACGGCCGTGTTATGCATTTTATAATAAAGAGATTATCGTCCATCATTCTACGTTTTTCGTTATTACTATTGTTAATGTGGGTGTCCACTCTATGTATTCGATAAATATTTTAACCAAGTGCACAAATACGGGTTATTAAGTTTTACCAATATCATCGAATAAGTTGAATATTGAGTACCTAGTTTACAGTACAGTTTTAATTTAGAGTACGCGTAGCGAAAATCAATTTTAAAATGTCTTTGTCGTTAAAAAAACATCGATTTTATGAAGTAAATATATATATGTATTAATGATAATTTAATAAGTATTTCTAATTGACTCTTTGAATAAGATATATAAACACCTATAGGCATAGTTCCCATTATACTCGTCTACATCTAATTATATGTTCTGATATTTTAGACTTGTAAATTGTATTTTATATTATGTTTTGGATTCAATAACTCGTTGCTGTCTAACCATAGAACGTATCCGGACGTCAATTTTTCGGCAAACCTGGACTTGATTCGCACCATGGGTAAGTCAAAAGTTCAAGTTTGTGTACGTGAAGTTGGGAATGCATCTACAGAATAAAGAATAGAGAAGAAAATATAACAATAATATACTAAAAACAACTAATATTAACAAAAAACGTTTTTGTGTAATGGAGCTCAGTTGTTTGATTATTTTAGATTCGATTCCGAATCGAAGTTTGATTTTTCTATGGTGTGTGTGTGTGTGTGTTTTGTTTTATCTGTAAACAACTTTACTACCAGAAATATTGTTTCAATAAAAAAACGACCAGACACCTTTTTTGTTACATTTTGGTACGCGTCGATGAATAAATTAGTTTTTTTTGTTTTTCCAACATTTTTTATAAAAATAGAAAAAGACGTAATAGAAAAATAGATAAATCAAATTTCAAATTTTCTTTTTTACCAGAAATTTTCCTATACCGTTTTTTCCCGATTGTTATGACAACCACTTAGAAAATAAAATAACCTCTTTATTGCATCAACTAAATAAAAAATGCAACTAAAATAAAGGTAGTTTAACAGATGGTTTGATTGGAGCCCGAGATCATGTAAAACATTTTTTATACAAACAGAAAAAAAAGATAATATATATCTACATCATAGTAAAATCAATGCATTTCTCGTTTTGCTCAGAATCTAAAAAAAATCTAACGTTTATAATGCGATATAATATAGTACCTACTTTGTTTTAGATATTTTAGTGCACCGTTTCAATGAAATACATCCTCTTCATTACAACGAAACGGTTCACGCAATCCTCCGTCAGAATGATGATGGTTCTAAATAGTAAGTATCATTCCTATTAAACGCATTATAATATATGGTTTTAATTCAACAATCAGATATAACGACAATATACGAAAAAAAATTAGCCATTTCGAAAACGCTTTCGACAATCAGTTCAGTTAAGTGCTCTTTATCCCATCGTTATACCATTAAAAACAAGTCGGAAAGTACGTTTGAATTATTGGATTCGAATTTAATTTTCTTCTTTAATCCACGAAAGCGGTTACTAACCTGTTTTCGCTCTACGCATCTCGTCGCAATAATACCCATCGTCGTTATGTTTTCTTGATTTATCACGCATATGTCCACAGAAATCTCCTCTAATAATTACCACCCGCCAACACGAACTTGTATTATTTTATAATCGATTATACGATCAAATCAATCTTAACTGAATTAATATTGCACGGTTTTCGTATGCTTGTCTATGTAGCGTACTCGGTCACAATATAGCCAAGAAGATAATACTCACATATGATAATCAGAAGATAAAGAATTGTATTAGTCGTGTTTTGACGTGTCTATTGAACCAGGAAAATCAATTGGAATTTGAAAGGACCGCAGATAGTTATCAAATTAATGATGTGTACGACGATGATAATACTTCAGAACTTTATCCAGATTATCCAAACTTGGACAATGGCAATATAGGCGATTTTTCGTCAACAGAATATTGACTTTGACCATAAAGAAGTATTATTTAATATTACTTGGAGGAATTATTTCTTTTGTTTCAAGATGCGACCTTTACAAAAAAAGTATATAATTATACGTATAATATTATAAAAATGTACTTATTTTTATGAATATGTTTTTTTTTTATTGAATTTATAATATAAGTGCCCGATACAGGTATTCAACTATGAATTACCTCGAATGTATATAATCACGCGGTTTTTTGGTCCCAAGGAAGAAGGGCTTGAGTAAATTTTTATAATTTCGTCTTGTGCATTCGGTTTCCCTTTATTTGTTGGTCTAAAACCCAAATTGCACAAGTGTGTGTGTGTGTGTGTGTGTGTGTGTGTACATTTTCAATACATTATACAGTGTATGCAGCGTATTAGCGTACACAAGACGTACGTGTTTTCAACATTTAATGAGCTTGTGTTGGAAACTATACGCGAACGGCTCAAAGTCTCTTCATCGACGGGACCGAAGCTATGGGCACAAACGATAATAATTCGCGGGTTGATTCGTCCCGGTTGAACATTACAATACAATATAGCCTCCGAACTACGTATTTAATTCTAACGGGATCCAATCGTATACGATCGGTTGTCCACTTGTTTCGTGTGGCGCAATATCTATAGACCCCCGCGTTCACGACAATATCGCAATGTGGTCCTATATGAACTCCGCGAGCAGTTCATTAAAACGTTTCAATCTGTTTTATTTATTCGTTATATTCGTTTCGTAACACGCTACATTATTATGTTGTATTGTTTCGTATATAGGGGGATACAGAATTCGTACAGGTTTCACAAACAAACTATTATTATTATTATTATTATTATTATTATTATTATTATTATTACGATACAATACCATTATATCTACCTATAAATAATGTATTTTATAAAATTCAGTCCGTACATGAGACGCAAAATATATTAGAAAAAATAATACATAATAATACGATATCATATAAATGTACAATAATTATTAATAAAACTGCGCGTATAATAGTTATTAGGTATTATTTGTATAAAATCGAATCATCTAATATTACGGGTACGTTATATTCATTTTATAAAAGCTAAACTCGTATAATATTATTATAGATAATATACCGGCTACTATACAATAAAAAAGGAATGTTACAATATCATAATGTATTTTCATAATATTATTAAAAAATTTAATAATAATAAACACCTTAGGTTATAATTTTGATCTTATCGCGTGTAATTTTAATTAATGTTAAAACGAAATATAACAATTATTTTAAAATACACACACACAAAAAAAAAAAAAAAAAACAACAAACATTCATGTTCGTTTAAATATTACCGTTGTTTTAAAAATATACGGTTAAATTGTCTTCTCTTCTCGTTTCTTCGACCGGTGTCACGCTGACGCTCGGATCGATTTCGCGCTATAAGAATAAATAAAATATTGTTGTTTACACTTATACATTTTAGTACTTATAACGTCTTTTATTAAAAAATTAAAGGCCAAAGAACCTAAATTAACGATTATTAATAAATTATTCTCAAAGCAAATCGAAAACGCCATTGACAGAACAATCGATGCTGAACACATTATTTTCACAATAATCAATGGAAAAAGTCTCTTGTCAATTAACACGAAATCATAAATTTTCAAATCATATTTGCGACCCCTCCTCGCCTTCACCAGTCCCGCGTGGGCATGCGACATTTCTGTCTCTAGTTGATCCAAACTCGAAGATTTCATCACCAACTCACCATCAATGGTATGTCAGAGAAACCAGACCATAAGAGACGATACAAAGGCTTTATTAATTCCACTACCGCGGGCATACTCAAAAACGATAGTCCACCTCTCAATTTCCGCATACTGTGAATATCGCTAAACCACCCACTCGCTCGAACGTAATCATATTGTAAACGGATCGATCAATATTATCGTGCCTATACACTATTTTCAATAGAAAAAGCTATGATTGAAGCAGATTTATTATCTATATTTATTTATTTGTTTACAATTGCGGGAAACGGGCCCAAAGAGTTGATAAACTAGGGTTAAAACTAGACGGTATTATTTGTATAACATATAAAATAACATGTCCAGGCTGACCGACTGAATCGCTTGATCGCCTAGCCCAAACCACTGCACGGATCGGGTTGAAATTTGGCATATAGACAGCTATTATAACGTATAGGACTCCATAGGCATCTACAAAGAAAGTATTTTTGAATATCCAACCCATGAGAGCGTAAAATATAAGGTTTTAGGTATTTTCAAATATCCATTTTTTTTTTTTTTTGTTTTTGTTGATATTTACTTTTGTTTATTCCTGGGTTACCTCGGTGATACGGATTATAATTAAATTGGCCACGGACAAGAAAACTATTATTATTACTATTATTTTTACTATTATCCAGCAATAGCGAAGCATTACCCGGTCAGCTGGTAGACTAGATATATATAGTGGCGTGCACAGGAATTTCCAATGGCAGAGGAGGTAGCAAACAAGAATCGTGAATAAATCGTAAACTCGTCTTCTCTACCCAAATAGATTATGGGAAAAGGTAATTTAAAAAAGAAACGCAAGTTCTAATTAATACGTCAAGCTTATTTCCTCGTAACTTGGCTGAAATATACGCATTTCGATATTGGATTACTATAATATTTGTTTGTATTTTTAAGCCAATGGGGGGGGGAAATAACTTTTAACCGCCCCCACCCTCGCGCAAGCCACTTTATGTAGATATATATGTAGATTATAGAGCAATGCAAAGAGGATATTATCGTTATCATTACACACACCGTCATGTGAGCGCACGAATTACGATCGTCCCAACTGAGTTTTTTCACGCGTTTAGGAATAGCGTCGTTCGGCCAATGCGGCGCCCTTGAAAATCTGCTCACCGGACTCGGGGTCGCTGTCGTCGTGGTTGTCGACGAACCGGCGGGCGACCGGCCGCCCCCGGTCTTGGGAATTTGTGGCGGAGCCGGCGCAGGAAACTTGTGTCTTGACCGGGGAAGCGATTGCTGCACCGCACCCATTTTCGCTCGACCGTTTGTTGCAGCGGCCGTTCCGGGAAACATTCTGGTTGCTATAAAAAATTCGAACGTTATCGAAAAAGAACTTAAAAAAAAAAAAAGAGATTCATTTCGATAGGTACACAAATTTAGTAAAACGCGCTACAATTTGAAATGAAATTTAATATTTTCACATTATATTATTATAAAATTTTACAGGGAGACTCTTTTTTCCAAGTTTTTTCTCAAAAGTTTTTTTCCTGAGTATCATTTTTTTCACTTTTCCAACGCAATATTTTCAAATTGTTTTTTTTCCCAATACGAAAAAAATAAATATTTTTTAATTTTGCATTATATTTGATGCACACAATTTGCTTTATAAAGTATTATACGTCTGTGTGATTTTTCGCGTTTATTATAAGCTATTACCGAAATTACTATAATTTATCGACGATATTTTGCTATTTTCCGACGATAAAATATTACCCATTATGATACCAGTATAGCATGTAGTGACCGAAGCTCCGACCGCACGGTGCTCCTTCGAGTTACCACCCGGAGAGGTGTAAGTTTCATAATTTTTTTTTTCTGGAAAATATTAAATTTGGGAAAAATTGACTGACAAAAACGTATTGGGAAAAGTGTACTACAATCGTTTTTGTAATCCTATTATATAAATCGATTTTCGAGACGAATCACTCACTTTTGACCGTGGCGGTGTACAGCGGATCCGCCGAGTCTTCTTTCGGGTTGAACAACGGATTTTGCATTTTAGTGCCCACCCCGACCAAACGCTTCTCGTCGTATATCGGATTGGTGCGTTTGAATCCCTCGAATTTGGTGCGCACGTCGAAATTCGCTGCGGTACCGATTTTCGGTCGTTTGCTAAAAGCGTACGTATGCACAGTGATTTATTATTAAATTTAGTGTAACGATAGGTTATATAAATAATGTTTTCGGTTTAATACTTTTTTTGAATGTGAACGACCAACGCGATTATAACCAGACTGAGGGCGCCCAAAATAACTCCGAATATTACAAACACCGTATAGCTTCCGTTGTTGGCGGTCCGGCCGGCGGATCGTACGACTGTATCTGGTAAATGCACGATAACGGGCACCGAAGCCTTTGTAAAACAAAAAAAACGTTTAGCAAACAAAAAATCAAAAAGAAAAAAAAAATGTCCAGATGCATACTTGACGCGGAGGAATTCCAGTGTCCGTAGCCACGGCCACCAAATGTGCCGTGGCAGTGTTGAGATCTGATAGATCGCCTAGTATAATATCTCCCGAATCTTCAATGGCGAACATTCTATTAGGTATATAAAAGAGAAAATTATAATTATATAGTTGAAACTTATTGTTTTTTGTTTTTTTAATAAAATTTCCGTTGATTTAAGCATAGCTATAGGTGCCATGTATTAGACGGATGACCGGATACGAGAACATCCGATGAAACTTGTATGGAGTGCTCAACATCCAATACAATTTGAGATCAAATTTCGATATTAAATAATAATTTTCTTCAGAAAAAAAAATCAATTCGAAAAATGTTGAAAATTCAAAAACCTATGTTATTGTTCTAATGACAAACCAACAATGAGCAACAGCAGATCTCTGTCACTAGAGTCGAATTTTTTCCAAACCGACTGGTTTGTGAAAGCCAAACCGACCTTTGTGATATTTTATTTTATTTTTTTTTTTTGTAATTGATCTAAATTATAATTGCTTAAGTTTTATTAAATTTTAGTCTGCATGTAAAACCCGGTATTTTCTGTGAAAATTAAATTTGAACATACAAGTAGTCGGGTAGCTGGTTAAAAGTCGAAACTCCAATAGGTACATCCTTGATACTTACGCCATGTATAAATTAATTTTCATCCCACGGCTTCATTTGGAAAGGGGAGTTATGTATAGGTGTACAAAGCAAAAAAAAAAAAACAACATGGTGAAATTCAATTGAAATTGTATCACTTCAACTTAAAAAACAACTCTAATCCGATCTAATCTTTAATCCACAGCGAGCCATTACTCGAGAATAGCGGGAATAAGATATGTTTACACACATAAATTATGTAACAGACAAAATACAGAAGATTCTATTTTCGGGGAAAATTCGACAAAAAGTGATTAAAAAAAAAAAATTTTTTTTAGTAAGTATTTAAAGTAAAGTAGTAATAACGATTCTGAAATATTATAAATATAATGACATTTTTTAAATTTATAAGATGTTACATTTCAGGTGTACATAAATGATTTTTCCAGATGATACTTGATGACGTATACCGGATACCAGTATAAATAAACATACACCTACAATAAATCGATAATTGCAGCCTGTAGTCCACACTACTTTTTAATTGGGGAGGAAGTTCTCGGGGAAGCACCCGATGATTTTTTTTTTTTCGTAAACTTGGCACCTATAAATTATTATATGCTGGTATTAAATTTACTTGGATTCCGGGCCTCGCAGCGCTAAACTAACGCGATCCCCGCGGTCACCGTCGGCAGCTTCCACTTTACCGATAACTGTTCCTGGCAATAATTGTGATAACGATATGTCCGGCACGTAAAACTCGTATTGCGGGTATCGGAATCGCGGATCCCAATCGTTAACGTTCAGTACGCTGATGTTGACAAACGCAGAAGTGTTCTGGAAAAAAAAAACCATCAGTATATACAGATATTCATATAAAAACAATCAATAGTAAAAAATCGGAATCATATCGTACGATGGTTAGACCACTGTTGTATAGGTATGTAGGATTTATATGGTAATTCAGTTTAAATTTTAACGTAACGATATATGATTGAATAAACGAAAAACGATTTTGATTGGAGTGTTAGTGATATTTTCCCCTTGTAGCCAAAGTAATCCAGAAATCAACAAATATGGAAAAATTAATGTTTTCGTCATTTGTTGTCAAATTTTTTTTAATTTTTAGAAAAACTATTGAGAATTTAGAATAAATGTATCGATTAAAGCACCACCAGTTGAAAAATTGGCATCTTTTTAAGGTAGGTACATATTTCGTGAAACAATCGGAACATTTTTACTAACCGAAAAAGCGCTTTCCGAGCAAAAAACACATCTTAGTATGAAACTATAATACCTACCGATAAAATGTTTGCAATACACAGAATTAAAATTTATTAGAATTTTTTTTACGACACTACTCACATTTAATAATCGAAAAAAAAAAACACAATAGTGTAAGACTATATAAACATTTAGTTCCAGTAGACAATATTGCAGTTTGTTGGTACAGTTGCACGCACAATAAATCAACCGGAAAAAAGGCAGATACGCGCCGAAACTAACGATGGCATCGAGATGTCATCTTGTCACTATTCAATTACAGTGAAATAAATAGGAACCGAACTTTTATTACGATATGTTTTAGATTCAGAGTGTAGCTAAAAATCTATTGTTTTACTAAAATGGTGTTTTTTTTTTTTAATTTTATTAAAACAGTTTGTCACTTTCTATAGATATGTAATATAAAGTATTCTTTGTATCCTATAAAAATATATATGTTAACGGGCAATGTGAACAGTAAATAAAAAAAAAATTGATATTATTTTTTCTGTAAATATTTCTTTTCTTGTAAAATGTCCACACTGTTATCTAGTAGCGACATGATATATACTTATATTCTTCTGTTATAAATATTGTGAGCCAGTAATCTTTGTAGTTGAGGCTCAAATAAAATAAAATATTATTTCAATGAGATGTGTGTATTGGTAATAACATGTTCAACGGTTTATTTATACGTTTTTTTTTTTTATTAGTGTGAAGTATATTATTTAAAAAGAAAAAAAATTATAATTACTAATCGCATTTATGTCGTTACGTTTTGAATTAATTATAACTGCATAACGTAGGATTATATACATATTTTGAATTACTATCTATTTGAAGTACCTATTCTATTATGACACTTTGAATTACATGATCTCTTCACTTTTACATTTGAGGTTTTTGTTTGTTGTGTACACAAGAGTGCGACTATTGTCTTTGTGCTCTTACGTTTGAAAATTTTCTTTTTTTGATATTTAATATACATGTACATAAATATATATCACTCAGATGACTACAATGAGCTAGGCATTTAAAAATACGAACCTAGGGCTATACCCGGGGCTAATTTTGGTGCTAATCAAATACCCGAGGTACGTACCATAAAACTGTCGGTGGCAAAAACGTAAAACACGTAACCGTCCACTGTTTCGTAATCCAACGGTTTCTTTAACACAATGTCGCCGCTAATCGTAATCGAAAATATATCCGTATAGTTGCTCAACCAATATTTCAGCCGTTTGTCTTTCGGCTTGTTGGTGATCACGGTGAGCAGGACGCTTTCCAGCGGTACGTTTTCCAACACCCCCGCCTGATAGTGGTCCTGTAAAAATTGAAGTTCTCGGAGCGAAGTTCCCGGCCGACTGACGGTCAATGTGGCCAACGCGTAACGATCGGCGTTATCAAACTGCGTAGCCTGTAAATAACAAAAAAAACAATTAAAAATTACATGAAGATCACTACTGCAGGTTCGGCAATAATATTTCGGATTATAGTAATGTGTTAAAAATATTAGCCGGTCATACTTACTCGAATGACCATAGTGACCGGTTGTAATATATCGTCTTCCGGAATGGCACGTTTGACGGTAACACTACCCGAAACTCTATCCAGTTCAAAGTAACGAGAATCTTGGGTGTCTAAAAACACGCAAGTATATTACCACCACAAATATGTTAATAATGAACTCGTGATAATTATAAAGTTATAGAAAAAACGAACTACTAAACTAACCAGAGTTAAAAGTGTAAAAAATATTCGCATTGATTCCGACGTCTTGGTCGAAAGCGGCGATTTCTTTAGGAAACACTTTGAGTCTCGTGCCCTGCAGTACAATAACAAATATTAATGACTTTGAAAACACGAAAAAGTTTTCTTGTAAGTGGAATGTCTATTACTTTGGTAGCATGGTCGGGCAATGTAGCGGTATATCTCTCGTCGTAGAACTTTGGGTTTTGATCGTCCGCGTCGATGATATTGACGTAGATGACCGTATCGGTGTATTGCGGCGGATTGCCTTGATCCTAAAACAAAGCGTAATTTTTGATATTGTAGAACTGGTATGAAATTTCACTTTGTATTGAATTTGAGATTTATAGTAGATATTTGGTATTTATTACTTGTGCTCGTATTCCGATAGTGAAATTCGAAAGAGTTTCATAATCCAAAGCTTTCCGTAACACTAGAGTTCCCTCGAGGCCGTTGACGAAAACAAAAAAATCCTGAAATATTTAACTTTGAGTAAGACAATGTTCTATTACAATTCTATTACATTTTCAATCGACCGTGCATCTAAAAATTACAACTACAATTGTGTTTAATCTACTCGGACAGTGTGAATATTCATCTTAAATCATACCTCTAGAATTACTCTAGATCCGCCAATGAAAATCGACTGCATGAAATACAATCAATAAAGTTACGAAATACATATATAAAAAGTAAAAAACTGGAGTTAATCAAACCATTGGCGCCGATATTGGCGAAAATGTCTTAAGGGTGCGAATCTAGTGTATTTATAATATACAGAAACAGACTCACACGCGACCGCGAGAGATCAAAATTGTAAGTATAGGTGTATAAGTACATTTTTTATTGCATTCATTTTCGGCGCCTATGTTTTAATGACATTTTGATATAATTATTTAAATTATTGTAACGTAGGATTGCCATTTATTTGAGTTTAAAAATCGTGACGTTTATTTTTAAGAGATACACTATACAGTATACACCCTCTTCAACTATCTTATCAAATCTTGTACGGCTTGTAGCTATTTTGATAATTCCGATCCCTTGTGTTTTATGTACATATTATTATCCACGCCTGACAAAATAAAACTTCTCCTTACTTACTCATTAAAGGTTTTACATTTTTCATAAGCTTTTAACTCGGAATACTTAAACTATTATAATTATGTGATTAATAGATTAACAGATTTATAGATTAATTGTATGAAATTTAAAAAAAAAACCGGAAATATGATTTAAAGTAAAATACCTATTCTACAAACATTATGAAAAAGCATATATTTTTTTTTAAAAATCAGTTGAAAATAAATAACAGATCATTTTATATCTCGATTCTAATAGGAGGTACTATAGTACCTATATAGTCTAAATGGAATCTCAAGTAGAAATCCACAAAAGTCCCCCGAATGGGATTTCCCTTTGGGAGTCTATCATGTTTTATTAAGATATATTCATCATGTCGTCATATCAATGTTATATATATTTGATAACACCTATCTGAAATAAATTTTAATGGTTTCTATAAAAATGAATTATTTTGAAGACTATTTTGGGACTTAATTTAGGAAACCAGTATAATTTGCAATCCCAGTCAGGACAATTAATTTCGGGAAAACGTGCCTAAAATCACCCGTGGTGGTAGTCTGCTTTAATCAATACGAATGATATCTCTATTATAACGTTCAAGTCTAACTTACAGAATGAGGCCCCGGAAGCACAGAGTACTGAACGGTAGAGAACGGACCGAGTTGATCGGCATCGACGGCTTTGATACCTTGAAGTACTCTGGTCCCCACTACGGTTACCTATATAAAAACAACTCAGTGTTAATATTATTACAGGACAATTGATTTATAATGTAAATTCATACCTCGGATATGTTTAGAATGTAAGGGGCGTTGATAAATACCGGAGCGTTGTCGTTGGCGTCGGTTACTCGAATGCTGACGGGTATAGCGAAATTCTAAAATAGGCACGTAAAAACACATCGTTCGTTCTTATTTTCTCTAGGATAACAATAGTTAAATTATTGGAGATTTACTTACTGGATCGGCCGTATGTTTTCGTTCGCAGATTACATTCACGTAAACGGAAGAAGGACCAGAAATACCCTGCAACGATATAACAATGTTAAAACGTCAATATTGTAGTCAAAAGTATTATTTTTGTCATCAAAATAAAAAGCCGCAAACTATATACTTCTTTGTCCAGCGGTTTTGTCAGTGTGAGTTCCTTTGTGCCGGGCAGAATAGCGACGGGACTGTCTACCTCCTTTAGCGACAAGTTTATGTTCCCGTTTTCAGACGAATCGCCGTTTATCTTCAAAATGCCTAAAAAAAGTACATCATAATTATAGTTTATTAAAAAAAAAAAAAATCGATTATACCGACCGATAATAGTACCGACTGGTACGTCTTCGGACACGAAGAAGCTTTCGGCCGATCCTCCATTTTCTAAATAGCAACGATTGTCCACGACAGCTAGAAACAAAAACAATAACAGGGATTATAGAAAATGTTTTACTAGGAAATCTGAATGTTATATTTTCAAAAATTATAACAGTTAACGGTCAAAATTTAAGTTTTCAACTACTGTTTGAACCGTGAATTCCAATCGCGGTAGTTTTTTTCTGTATTTTTTTTTATTTTATTTTTAATCCGAATAGGTATATAGAGAACAATGTACGATTGAAAATTTTACTTTCGAACCGTAACGGAAACGCGAGGCGCAGATGGTATATAAGTATAGGGAACAGGTGGTTGTTTAGGAGCTCAAGTGTATCAGTACTTGGTACGTTATAAGTGTTATGTTTGAAGTAACAGGAAATCCGTTTCGGATTTAACCGAACAAATCGCTACCGATGCACGTGAGATACCTTACCGCGGTATGTAACTTATAAAAACGCTATAGTTTTTTTTTTCTGAAAATTATTGTATAGATGGTCTCGAACGTTTGTATATAGGGGTAAATATATCGAAAAAAAATGTATATTTACAAAAATGTCTTATTTTTATTGTACTATTTTGAAGTTATTCGTACAACTATAGATTAGGTGGGTTTTTAAATCTTAATCTTGCAGTCAAATCTTAAAAATTCACATATTTGCCTACGTCTTTTAGAATTTTGGATTCTGAGGTTCTATTATAATGTGTTTATTTTCTGTCTGTTAACAACTTTTCTAACAGAAATGTAACTGTAATCAAAAACTTTATAGACACTTTCTTGAAGCATTTTGCGTCTAGTTGGTGCATGAGGAACGTCATTTTTCGATTTTCCCTGTAATTTTCTTACTAATTAGGAAAAATTTGGAAAAAACGAGACGTTTGTTGTTGATTATATAATGAGTTACCCTGGCAAAAAGGAAAACAAAACACGATTTATAACTTCTCGTTTAGACACTCCGTTCAGAATATGTATTTCGTTTTCAATGATTGATTTATCGTTGCATATATTATAGATTATACAGAATAAATTATCAGATATAGCCTACCTTCCCAACTATTTATCCGTGATCAGTATCAACTTTTAGGTTTATTTTGCCTTTAAGCACAAAAATTCGAAGAAAAAAATGCTTAAATTTGATAATATAATCTGTCTACTTACTGATTCTTCGACAAGGTTCTATAATAATTTAGGTATTCGTTTATGAATACCAGTAGAATCAATTATAATTTATGGGTACTGATTTTAAAGTATTTTTTTTTATTATTATTACTTTTTCTGTATAGCATATTATATTGCTCAATAAAATGTTTCAATACGTATAAAATTTAAGTTTTATAATTTATAGTATTAAATATTATAAATTATTTGAACCGTAAATGTATTATGGTGTTCATCTCAGCTACATTGTTTCACCCGTATTATAATCATTTCAAATGTATTATTTTTCGTCTAATTGCAGATTGCGAAATGATGTATTATATATACTCGTATTATTGATGGGTGAATATACAAACGCAATTATTGTTACGATTCATAATTACTATAATGGCAATAAAAAAAAAATGGCTACATACATTTCTAAAATATTAGAGAGATAAACGTCGCTAGATAAGAAAAAAAAAAACGTGATTTTAAAATAACAACAGATGAATATAATACCTAATTCATATCAATAATACAAATTATATTTTTAAATTATTTATCAATTGTAAATATAAACTATAATAACATTAGCTATATTAACTATATAGTTAATTTATGATTTTTATAATGAATTTGTAGCAAATATACATTTTGTTTACGTTTTATTGGTCATATTTAACTTTATTATTGCACAAAGCTCATATAATATGTTATATGTACCTAATCGCATGTACTCGGTTTTAAAATTTGTGTCTGCTTTTTGTGATATTTTCGAGATATTTTTAATTATTTTATTTTATTATTAATATTTAACGGATAATTAATAAGGTTAACTATAATCTATTTTTTCAGTTGTCTTTATTTTATCACACTTACACAACAAATTTTAAACATGCTTTAGACAAGTAAAACCGTGTTTTTATAAGTTACCGAAATATCATCTTAATACACATGCCATTGCAATTGGATTATTTATTTAGTTAAATTTTATATAAAATGTATTCACAAGGATTAACAAAGTAAAACGTCGTAATCACCGTGAGAATGAACAACGAACAGTATATTGATATTGTCGAGCCAGGAGGTCATGTTATATTTTAAAGGTTACGTACAGGCGATTTTCATGAAATTTAGAAAAAAAATAATACGGACATACTTCGTCTACTACTACTATGTGGGCCACTGTTGTATGTAAGAACTTAGGAGAGTAGGCTATAAAGGGGAATTTAGTTTATATCTGTACGTAACGATAAACCGTTCCTAACGAAAAATGATTTGAAGCAAAGTTTCTTTTATAAATTTTCCTACTTTTTTCCTGGTTTTCGCCGTTTTTTATGAAAACCCCTGAGAAAATCAAAAATCGTTCTACTAAAAGAATCACCCAGATAAAATTTCTTTTCAAAAAAAGTACTACATTTGAAAATCAGAGTAAGACTTCTGATAGAAAAGCTGTTCACCGATAAAAAAAAACAAATAAACATCATTGTAAAACCAATACATTACTCCCTACGCTCCAGATCTAAAAAAACGTAAATTTTACGAATCAAACAAACGCAAATTAACTTTTAATATAAATCTGAAAACAATTCCGGGTCATCACCACTTAGTATTTATTGCAATGTACCTATAATCGTGAAATTTGTTTATAACAGAAAAAAGGCTAAAACGTACAATTCTTTTCAAAGTGATAGTAGAATATTTCTATTAATTATAAAATTTAAAGGCAATCAAATTATTGTAGTAAGTGCGGCATATTGGTTTTAATATCGAATAATAATTAAATAATATCGAACGTGACGGTATACAGGTATTATATTCGAGATTAAAGTAAAAAAAAAACCCCGTTACTTTTTTTAAATAAATTAATATTTAACCGAATAGATTCCTTCGGTAAATTAGTGTTGTTTAATTTTCTTAAACAAGTTGTTTTACGCTAAATCATACTCATCATTTCGAGAAAACCGACGGTTTTTCGGCACAAAGTTTTCGCGTTCGAAAACGCTTACGCTGTTATACCTTCTGAAAAATTGAAAAAAAAAAAAAAAACAACGTTAATGAGCTTAATTCGACGACACAGCGCGGGTACAACACGAGTGTATATAAAACGAATACGATGATAATGATGGCGGAGTTCTGTTCAACATAATAATAATAATAATATTATTTCGAGCCACTTGTTAAACGGTCGTGACGACTACCAAACCGTCAAATTTATTGCATAAATACATATATAATATAATTATCATAAATATAGGTATATAGGTTCGAGCATGATGTATTATCTTGTCTACAGTAATTTTCACATAGCTGTCATCATATTATGCGTATCGCGGACTTACTATATATAGGTAGGTATACCTACCTATGTAAAAACGCTTCACGTTCGGCCGAAATCAAAAGAATACAATTTATTTCGTGATCGTCTATAATGTGTAATTGTTTAATGCATAATTCATCTCGTACGTACGAGTGCGCCAGTGTTGTACCTGTATATTATTGTGGGCTACAAAGATCCGATTTACCGGAGAAATTCGCGCGATACTGTGTGTTGTATACCCGTGAATGGTGCTCGAATAATATTATAATTACTGTCCCGAGTACAAAATCAAAAAAAAAAAAAAAATTTTTTTTTCGGAGTGGGATTTCAAGTACGTACCTATAACGAAACGTATTAAGCAAATATTATGACTGACTATAACATTTTGCAGCTCTAGCTAGTCGCATATCGTTTTTAACGTGCTGAATACGGTACAGACTTTTATATTTTCTATATACCTACGTACACACGTAGTAATAGTACAACTATACCTACTTCATTACTTTCACATTTTTAAACCAAAGGAAACCTCTATGTATGAACAAAAAAAAAAAAATTATAGAGATTAATATAATATACTTACTGTCGAGGAGACGCGTAGGCCGTAACAGGTAGGTTGGGTAAGGTTATTAATCTAATCAAAAAAGAAAAACCGTGTTTCGAAATATATTACACATTTTGATGTCCAGTGATAAAATTCGTATGGGCGAGTATAGGAACTTTTTTCTAGTATAGATATTCAATAGTCGTAATACGAGAACGACGACGTATAATATCGATACCTATAAAGAAAGTATTGTCAATAGTCCGTTGAGTATCGTTAGGGTGTACAGATATCTTCTTCATTATAATTTTCAACACATAATAAAAATGTTGTATAGTACCTATAGCATACTGTATTCGTAAATGAAGTTCTCTCGCATTTTTTAGCAGTAGGTATTTCTTATTTTAAGAAAACCGTGCACTATCAATGTAGGTAATATTATTATACCTGCCTACACAATACATATCTTCATCTTCAGCTATAATAACAATAATAATAATATAATATACCGCTAAACTGGGCAGCCAATATTTGCAGGTAAAATGCAATTTCACGGTCAAAATAACGAGTAAAAAGATAAATAGTTAGAAAAAAAAAAAAAATGATAAGATTAGCGGGGGTTTTTTTTTTTCTAATAGGTAGCTCGCTGTGATCTGATACACGTCATGCCAACACGTAGTACCTACTACTCGAGAATAAAATTATTTTTATACGGTTAGTTGTTTCGTAAAAATGTTCACAATATGTATTTATTTTCATATTACTTATCACATTATACGTATCTATCTGAAACAAGTGGGTGTTTCGCTACATTTTATGAATTACGATTCCAACGAGTAGGTAATGGGGCATATACGTTTACTATGCCTATATAATGGAATTTGACGGGACCGACAGAATAATAGGTATTGGTTCGTTTTTATTAATTAATATTAAAACAACCTCCCTATATACCTACGTTTTCAAAAAAAAAAAAAAAAAATGGTTAAATATTACGCTGTCCTGTGTTTAAATGAAAAAAAAAGAAAATACAAAATAAACATTATAGGGAAGGTTAGGTTAGACACAAATCCGATAAATCGATAGTGATCACTGAGAAAGTTTTCGGCTTCGTTTGAAATTGCTCGACAATTTTTTTCGCAAGGTCGATCGTTTAGTTGTATTCAGTGGTAAACAAAATAGTTGAACTCGATAAGTAGTATGTATTAGCCGATTTATGGTTAAAATTTACGATAAATTCCGTTGAGAACATTTACAAAATAATAATCGTAATTTATTTTGTAGTTACGAATTAATACTATGTTCGGTCAACATTTTATCAAAATACGTTTAACCGAGCTATGCGAACCGAATCGTTTCTCAAACGGAAAACGACGTACAGATTCTACTAAGATTGATGTGTTATTTTTATCTATCTGTAAACAACTTTTCCATCTGGAAATCTTGCTTCCATTATCAAATGAGCATTTTTTCTGCGCGGAAATGTCGTCCAGTTGGTGCACTGGGAGATCGTTTTTCGATTTTTTTTTTTAATAATAGTGAAAACACGTAGGAACAATTTACGACAGTAACGGTTTCTTTATTTTCGATTGGTTTTTTTTTTTTTTTTTTTTGTTGTTCTAAGCAGTTAAAAAATAACCGTAAAGACTTGATATTTTTATAGGATATTCAATATTTATACAAGACCATTCTAAACGTGGTGAAATTTGTCAAACCATTCTGGTGATTTTTGAAATTTTCTCGTATTTTTTTTATTCGGTTTTATGTGGATAAAACTGCCTTGAAATGATATGAAAATTGTACACGAGATTTGACATGAGTTGTACTTGGCGGTTAAAAAAAAAAAAGAAAAAGAAGATTTGTCTACCGCAATGCCGTAGTATATTTTTCATACGCGTTTCGAGTCCGAATTTCGACGAAAATCGTTTTTGAAATCTATTTGAACCATCGTCATTTCATGTAATAACAATTTGTTTCACATTATTGTTTTCGATGTACTCTATTAGATGAAAACTAAAATCATCACAACGACCCGTGGTCGCGGTCGAAATTTTTTCTGAAAGTAAGTATACGCGTCTTTATTATTATCATGTGCCGCGCACCGCGTAGGCTTAATTATGCATAAAATAATTATTGGGTACACCCGAACGGCGAATACATTAAAACGACCGTTGACGTGTCGTAGAATCACATATATTATATATTATTCATCCTTACGCAACACAACAATACGATTACGTTTCTGTGCGTCCGGCATGGGTTAACGAGCGAAATATTACTTCGTTCCCGTACGAGAAGTCGGGTAGGTCGGTAAAACACCACCTATCCGATAACATCTATAAAAAACACTCGTGTTTTCCGACCGCACAATCGTCAATTATCGTGTAACTATAACAATATGAGCAGTTTCACTCGTCGCACATCTTCACTGAAGTCTGACAAATTGACACATCACGATTTGGTCGATCGATGTCGTTATATTATTATTATTATTATTATTATTGTACACGTTAGCCGTTGGATGGCATGACAACGATTTTTTATTGTCTCGTGACATTTTAATAATAATTTCAAACTATTTTTTTTTTTTTTTTTTAAAATAATACCCACGCATAAGCATTATACATTATAAAATGTATCGACAAACTATCTAAATAATATTAAAACGCCCGTGTATTGTATTACATAGCGATCTCGCGACCAGAATCGAAAATCTGACGGGGAAACGGGCTAAAAAATTTCTAATTTTCAACCTAACTGTATTACGTTTATATTTAAGAACGCAAGGGGTATAGTTACATTTTATTGATTTCGTTCAAAGCTATTTATAATTAATATAATTATTATAAAGCGTATTATCATAATATCATCCCTTATGTTCGAATGAAATAAAAATAATGTTTAACCACTTGGCAGTAACGAGACATAAGAGTATGTACAGCTATTGTTGACCGTTGTATCTATTTGCTTCTAATATGTTATGAGTTATGACATTTTCGTTTGAAGATTATTTTAGTGAGACCTAGTCTTTGATACCAGATCACAGCATATGACGAACAATTTCTTTACTACAAATAAAATGGAATACTTTTAGTTTAGCTGTGCTCATAAATCAGATTGTTTAAAAATGTCACTTATGCCCATTGTGTTCTATGTACCTCATTTACTTAGGTAACAAAATCTACGTATTTGTATAAATCTAAAAAATTAACGTTTAATAATAACATGCTAAAATACGTTTAGAAAAAATCGAAGAGCGGAATTATGAAAAAAAAACCGAGACAACAAGTCCAGGTCCAGGGAGATTTAAGGACCGGGGGAGGGGTATTCCTAATTGCATCTATTGTTCGTAGGTGCGCTTGATTTTCAATGAATTTACGAATCTTTAATGATTCAGTATATTGTTGTTTTTATTTTTAAAAATATAATTTATAATTTTGTAGACATTAAAAATACTTAAAAATAAACGAAACCACAAGGAAAATAATCACTATAACTCGTATTAGTTGCAATTACGATGGCCAGATAACCTGAAGTTAAGGTTATAGATAATAACTTAACCTTAACCACAACATATCAAAAAACAAAACCATATTGTTAAGAATTATATTTGTATATTATATTATTATGCGAATGTGATACAGAAATAATAGAAATTCAAGCTTTTTTTTCGATTTCGGTGGCAGTTATCGTGTTGTATTGTGTAACGAATCAGTTGATTGAGAATGTATATTATAATGTATATTACATTACATCGTGGTTTTTTTCTATGATTGAGTTATCCAATTTTGTTTTTATGTGATTCTGACTTATTCTACAATTTAATTAAAGTTTTTTTTTTTTTTAATTATGTTTACCATTAGATACCTATTACCTATACAGAAATGTTGCTCGAGACAGAATGTACATTTTTACAAAGAATTCAAATCGCGCAGTAACAACAAAATATATTTTAATACTGGTTAAAGCACTGATGGAAATGGAAATATAAGAAAATATATAAGACAAATAATCAAGAATATATGGTACAAAAGATTGATAGATGGTACAAAACAAAGATTCGAGGACAATCGATTTATTTTTACTTTTTATTTGTCTTGCAACGATTAATGTATTTTTACTTTTTCAGTATTTTTAAATAAAAACAAAAAAATCATATTTTTAGATTCTGTTCGGAGCAAGGAATGTATTGGCTTTACAACGAAATATATATATATATATATATATTTTTTTTTTAAGTGAACACTATTTCTACCAGAAAGCTTACTCCAATTATTAAGTATAGCATCTTTTCATGGAAATGTTCTCCGGGTTCTCTAGAGAGGTAATTTTTTGAAATTCTCATTTATATTTGAGATAATGAGAAAAACCTGGTTCTTTAGGTTAAAAAAGATTGAAAAATTAAAAAAAAGGTTGTCACTGGTAACCGTTTTTATTTATTTTTTGTTATTATTAAGTTTTTATTGTTTTAATCTTTTTAAACAATTATTGTTATCATGGAAACGTACATTGTTTAAAAAGCTATACTATAGACCGAGCTATATAAAATATTAAAATAAAATAAATTTCGATTTTAATACATAAATCTTTATATTATATTTCTTTATTTTATACTTCTAAGCATCACTATCAACTAAAATCATAATCGTTTTTCGTTAGCAATGATTTATCGTTGTTTACAAATATTCATTAAATTCTTTTTTGTATCTTACCTCCGCAACTTTCCATCTACAACAGTAGCTGCAACCACGTGCGAAGTATGTTCGTTTTAAATTATTAAATAGTGCTGAATAATACTTTGACCAATCCGGAATTCAAATTATAATTGCATAATCTGGATTTGAATTTAATCTGTTTAATCCAGATTCTCGGATCCAATCCAGATTTCGGATCAATCTATTAATATGTTTGGAATGGACTAGGAACTAAAAACCAAAATTATTAAAAAAATAACTCCAACCGTGTTAGAAAATATCAACTAAAAAGCGAAAATAAACTCCATAATCTATACAAATTTGTAATACAAAACATTCTTCGGAGACAAACAAAAAATTACAAAACGTTTTTGCTGTAAAAATTTAAATATTGTCACTTAGACCACAACTTGAGTTATTAGCTTGTCCCCGCTTACAATACTTTTTCCAACATTTGATCATACATTGATTTCTATTGATTATGATAGATTATATTATTATAATTATTTCCAGCACACTGTTATCAATATAAAACAAATGTAATTCAAATTTCAATTGTAAATTTTACTATTATAAGTAGATAATATAAATAACAATACGAGCAGTATTTAAAAATAAACCACCTATTTTAGATCTTTATAATCCGGATTAAATGTATCATAACGTTTGTTTCAATCCGGATCGAACCGGTCAATCTGGATTTATTACTCAGCACTACTCTTAAATACCATCATAGTTTACTTATAACGTGTTTTAAGAATAATCGTCATATTTTACCCAGAATAGAAGTACAGGTGTGAGAAATGTTTAAGTACTTTGTCGATGTATTGATATAACATGTAACTACATTGATTGATTTATTGAAAGAAATAAAATCGCATTTACACTCAAATAGTATACAATATTTATCGCGATAGCATGATATACTTTAGGTTTGGAATTTTAGATAAATCGTATACAATGATTGGGCTATAGTATGGCATGAAATAAAATAACATACAAATTATGATTTTTGGAAGAATATAGTACTTAGACAAGAAATTCCTGACAAAACTATGTAAGGGCTCTGGATAAACATGAATTTTAATTCTAAAAATAGATCTTCGTCATCTATGTATCGTGTCAACTACATTATTTCAAAGTTCGGCATGATTTTTGATTCCTGTAGCTTTTTTTTTTTTATTAGCTGTTTTACTCGGATTCACCCAAGTACAGCTTGAAAAAAAAAATGTAATATCTATTGTATATAATTTAACTAATTATACTAAGAAATGTATTATCCATATACAATCCAGTAATTGAAATAATTCTTTGGAAAAAAAATCGTAAAAATGTTTAATGGTATCGCCAGAAACGTAGAGCTTTAAAAAAAAACATATTAATAAGGATATAATAGATAATGTCATGTTTACAGTCAAACATATTATAGTCTCGATTTATTATAGGAACGGAAAAACGTCGTGAAATCCAAAGAAATTATTAATAACAGTTTTTCAATTAATATTAAAAAAAAATAATAATAATAATAATGGTAAAATTTTATTTTGTTAAGTACGCACAACAACGACGCAGTGCACTACATATAGAGCCGGGAGTTAGGGGAAAAAGGAAAAAATAAGACCGGAAGAAACGTTACGCTTGCCCTTGCGGAACATCCGGCTGCTCCTCGACCAACCGTGTACTAGAATAATATTATATATACGGACCCGCAAGCATCCAGCGGGATTAGTCAGTAAGTTTTTTATCAAGGTCTCCACTAAACTGATGATTATTTTTTGTTTTACCTAAGAAACAATAGAAAATATATCCGACCCTCGCTTAATATTATCGTGAACGATGGACGATGATTCCGTTTTTCATTATATAACACGCAATTGGTCAGCTTGTCGAATGATAATAATAATAATTATTATTATTATTATACTAACCGTATAATGAATAAGTAATTAAAAACGACCCGTGTATTTAATTTTATAATTTACCATTAAATATAACCTTGAAAATAATTTATTAATATAATAATATATTATGGTGTTTACTTAAAAACAGGAACCGAATAATACATACAAAATCCTCGATAGTTACACGAATTAACGATTTCGTACATATCGTAAAAAACCAAACGAGCCACTTAAAATATTTACTATTATATTATCATTACTACTACCCAATTCTTAAATTGGTATATTTTTGAAAAAAATAACAACGATGATATAACTGTTCGGTCTTGAAGATTTAGAATTTATAGGGGTATAATTTCTTTATCACCTACAATAGTTTACTATTGAATATAAACTAAAATTATTTTTCAACCGTTGATATATCTAAAATATTTTTAGATCATAGGTAAATAATGGATATTTTCGGGATTAGGACACGTTTTTCCGGAAACCACGGGGGGAAAATACAGATTATAGATTATGCAAACCGATCTAAAATAAAAACCTTGTCTATGCTATGTAGGTACCCGTCCGAATCTGCAAATATTGCCGCAAGGAACGTAAAACCTATAGCCGATGGAAAACAACGACGGGTTTAGACAAAGCGGAAAAGAAAATGGAAAAACCGTCGTCGAGTAGGTCACAGGAATTGCCGAATCGGGTCACGGGATATTCTGAGTTGGTGTGACCGATCGGGTTTTCGATATCCTCGGGAAAATAGTTCCGAGCGCTGACATTTTTGAATACGACTATGTTATTTTCGTTCCATAAATATAAAATAAATGTTAGGTTCGGTTAGGAATCGCAATGGAATCGATATTATAGTCCAGTAAATATCACGTTGTCTATAACCGATAGTAACGATATTATGTTACAGTTTGCTCTGTATAATATATTGATAATTTGATAATGATTATTATTATATTATCTCGTCGATATTGTTCACTGTAACAATAGTACAGAAAAATACGCAAGACGGCGTAAAAAAACAACAGTAAAAAACACGAAAACTATAATGTATTTGAGGTACCTACATGCCTAATAAATTATACAGTTGGCAATTAGATTTGTGTTTGTTCTGAATAGATAGGCAGGAAGGTATACTTTCGGATCACGACGGAATACCTATACTACAGCAGCGGCGGCGGCGGCGGCGGCAGACGCGCGTATAACAACAACGACGGACAGATAATATTGGAATTTTCCGGTCAGTGCTCGTATAATGCGTATTTTTCCTACGTGTGTGATGAGTGAAAAAAAAAATACGTCAACGGAACGACCCAATTTTGCAGTGCTGCAGCGCCGCCGCCGCCGTCGTGTTTACAACGGAAAAATTCAAAGGAAAATCGTTTTCGTATGTGTCGTTTCGATTTGCAACGTTTTTTTTTTTTTATACATGTCAGCACCTGGGGTTTATAATAATAATAATAATAATAATATTAAATGTATAGCGAATAGTGATACCTATAGGTACCCAGTATACAATAATAATAATAAAACAGAGAAAAACGTGCCCGCGTCTATAATGGACCGTAATGCGTCACGTAACATCCTCCCGGGCACGTAAATCAAATAATTGCGAGTCCTCACCGCGCGTCGCCGTCGTATCTCTCCGTAGGTGTGCGTATACAGCCTAGTTATTCGAGAGGATAAGATAATAATAATAACAATAATGATATTATCCAGAGAACTAGACAATGGACGACCGCATCTGATACCTAGATAGCTGGGTACGTGTATAACAGCTATTGGTATGTACGTGTTGAGTTTACGCGGATACGGTGGATCTGTATCAATATCCGCGTAATCGGTGTACTCACAATCGGCGTTTGTACAGTTATTGTAATAATAAGTACCTACCTGTATAGCATTGGGAAATTTATACGCTATTATCATTATCATCGGTGAAACATTTCGCCGAGTAATTTATATTATCATTATTATATTTGGTCCTGGGGGGGGGACCATGGTGAGACAGAGATATTGAGGGTTTATTTTGAAATTACATTTACACTTGTGCGTTTTAGACCGAAAAATACAGTGAAAAAATTACATAAAAATTAAACGCAATACCCCGTTCACAATCGGGTGATTAAAACTTAAAAAATTTACGGCGCCTTCATTAAAAGTGACGCTGGGGCTTTAGATGATTATCGGGACTATTGTCAGTGACACAATTAGGCACTAGTATTGCATTGTGTCCGTTGTATATAAACATTGTTCTTCCTGCTTACTTTGAGCACTTTTAGTGGCTTCATCTGGCTTTGGAACAAATTAGCTCAAATTCAGGAATTAAAAATTGTTTTATAGGTAGATTCTGATAGTATTTCAATTGAATTTCAATATGAATTGCTCGTGTTATTGAGGAAGAAGGACGCTTTTTATTAGCTCGGTACACTTCTACAGACCTCCAAACGGAAATCAGGGTGATGACATTTTGTTTATGTATGGTATGTTAATATCAAGGATGTGCCTTTTGAGGGTTTGAACTTCTTACTCTCTCCCGATCCGTTTTTATGTTTAACTTTCATTTTTTCACACCAAAAATACTCAGTTACAAATATCCCCACAGTCTCAAATATAATAAAACTGTCAACCATTACTATATTTTAAATCAATCATAAATAAATGTAAAAAAAAAAAAAATTAAATATTCTAACGGCGACATTGCAAGAAGTCGGCTGGGGGAAAATTTGATTTTAGTAACGGAGTACTGCTGCTCACAGTTGTTTTTTAATCTATACAAAATGTAACTAATTCAATATATATATAAGTAAAATGAATAGTACATTATGGTCAATAACGTCGTGGACCGCAAACATAGTTAAAATATAAATAAATACTGCGTGTAGACCGCATATTATCGGTGTAGACTTTATACACCTACAGTTTGATGTAAGGTACCTCCTACTTATACTACTTATATTCTTCGAGATAAAATATATTATTCAAATATTTTCGTTTTACATGACATTTTACTGTAATTTTCAGCAGATTGCGAATTTATAGACGCAAATATTCGAATATTTTATGGGATGTGACTGTGTGAGGGCTTAAGTCCTCCAAAATATTAATTAACAGTGGTTATATATAGTATTCTTGACGAGGAGTTGATTGAAGGGGGGGAGTATTAGCTGAGTATTGAAGGGCTAAACCTCACGTGTTTTTATTTTTATTTGCACCAATAATAATCATTCGATTATACAAATATACTTTGAAATTGTCAAATTCTATATTTTTTTCTCGAAAATAATAATAAAAAAACTAGTATAGTTTAATCGGTTTTAGGTTTATGTCTATACATATTTATAACAATATCATATATATTTTTTTTTATCAATATTTGATGTTCTATACAATTTTCTTAAGATTAAAAATATGACATAAATAATATACATTACTTATGTGACGTTAACCAGTCCAGCGAAACAAGTTAAAAAGTTCATTAATCGTGTCGTCAAATAATTCTTATATTTTATTGTATAAAAACTAAAAACAGTTAATATCCGTAAAAATCCGGTTGAGTTTTTTGCGTTTTAACTTTTACCTTGACGACGAGTTAGAACTATTTATTGCGAACTTAAAAAAGTTCAAACATTTAATTGAAGGCTTTAAAATAAAAAAAAACAATTTTCATTAGTCTATAAAATAACTACTGTATACGTGGTATATTATAAACCTCAGTTTAAAATTTAAACATAACGCTACAATTCTGCAGACACCTGACACACTATAGTAGTCCGCATTTCATAAACCATATAGGTATATTGTCCCACTTTTTATTTAATTTGAATTGTTTACACGCTGAATGCGTACAAGTTATCATAGTTTATGTATACGTTATAGTCTATGCCGGTTAACTCGCTATAACTGTTCAACAATAATTAACAAAAAAAAAAAAAAAAATAATAATAATAATCATAAAAAGAGAGAATTAGGATTTGTACAAATTAATACGGTTAATACGCCTGCGTGTATCTAGATAAAAATGTTTTATGGTTTAACCTATTAGACATACCATGTTAGGTATAAGTTTATTTATACCTACGCAATTTGATACAATTAGTACAGGTATAATATTATTATTATTTTTAGTTAATTACAAACTCCAAGTATCGGGAAAATACAAATCAAACGAATCAAATTGCTTCATATTAAATACTCTAATCGATCAAACATTTTTTTTTTTTTTTTAACTAAAAATTAGTGCCTTTCGCCTGGTATGAAATGCGCAGTTCGTTTTTGCACACGCAAAGCCGGATAACTCGTTTAAATTTGAACTTTCGAAAGAAAATACGTTTATAATAATAATTGCCCGTCCGCCGTTTGTATATTGCGCGTGTAGGCGTATTAAAAAAATAAATAATTAAATATAGTAGGTAGGTAGCTACAATGGATACGGCACAATTTAAAATTATTACCTATCGTTAAGTAGTTTTAGAGATTTTCGCAATAAGTATAACTGTATAAAAAGAATCGTTCTACTGCAATAACCAAAATTAAATGTTATACAATTGTCTAAAATAAGACAAAAATTAGACCACGTCGTCGTTTGAATTTCAGAAGTTCAAAAACGTATGCATAAAAAACGAACATATTCCGCACGTGAGTGGGCCACTGTCGTGGGTGAGAAGTTGCGAAGGCAGTAGAGGGGAAATTTAATGTACGTAAAGATTAACCAATGTTAACGGAAAAATAATTCTGAGTGGAGTTTGGTTGACAGTGATGCTTTGTCAACAATATGTATGTCTTATTATGGTAAAATAATTACGTATACATTATATATATTCTTTATTAAATATTATTTGTTTAATATTGTACCGATTTTCCCGCTTTTCCCGATTATTTCACGTATTTCCGATTTTTCCCACTTATTAAATAGAATTATTTAAAATTACATACCTAAAGTACCATTCCAGTCAAATTTCCTTTCAGAAAAAGTGTTATCATTGTAAATTAGAGCAAAATTGGTGATAGAAAAGTTATCCACAGAAAAAAAAAATAAACATTGTATTGTAAAACCGATACATTCCTCGCTCTACTCACAATTTAAAAATGTATGATAATTATTTTTACCAAAATAAAAATAAATCAAAATGAAACATTTTTTTTGTTTTAAAGCAAAAACTGAATTTGACTTCTCGAATAACTCGTGTATATTATCATCCCATCATCTTAACATCTTAACCTTGTCGTTTTAGAAAAACGTCTCCTATCGAATTGCGTACACGCCATCACTCTAATATTGATTGACCGAATTTCCTAAATAGATTTTATTCTGTTTTTACACACCTATATTATATTGTAATACCGTTATTCTACAATAATTACCAATTTATTTTGATCACATTAACAAATTATGCAACTATATTATAATATGATATACGCCCCGTAAACGTAATCGACATTTTTAAACGAATTTAAAATTGATCTCGCCAAACATCCGCTCGTTCAAAATCCATTGTAGGTTAGTCACTACAACACCTATATAATATTCCAATCATCTCTTATTTATTTTCGTATGACTACACTGTACATATCACGAATAACAAATATTTAAATAATTATTTTAACCACTAATTACCAGGGCCGTATTTAGGAGTTGCAAACAAATTCTGCCGCCACCCCCCCCCTCCCCCCAATGAGTTTTATGTATTAATATTTTTTTTTTCGTTTAAAAAACAACATTTACAGATAAATAAGATAAATTTAGAAGCAAGTTTTTAAACATTTAAAAAAGAAAAACCTACAATATTATATGACTTTTTAATCGGTATTTATAAAGGTACGTCAGACGCACACTTTGTATCGTACAAGTACGATATTATTTAAAAGTAATGGACGATAACAAAACTTATATCGCCCGCTAAAATATGATAATCAGGCCGAAGTTTTTATGGAGGAGGGAATATAGAGATTAAATAAAAATAAATAAATAAATAATATCACGTTTACAAAACTCATTTACACACCGTGTATTTTATAGTATTCTTTCCTTTACGTCCTTCATTATCCTTTATAGTTCAGAAAAGTACCACCAAAATCGAGGCAGTTCTTATATTGTTTACTTAGGTATTTCGCTACGAAATACAATTTTATTAGGTATCATTGATATTTTTTTTTATCAAATGAACGTTAAATTAACAAAAAAAAGTCGTTCACGTTCGTGTAATAATTGAACGCGTTCATGGTTCGTTCACATAAAATCGAACGTGTTTTTTCTAAACAATGATCATTCTAGAGAAAATTAATTTTTAGTTTTTTTTTTTCAATCTCTATACTATTTACGACTATAATTGGTCAGGTTTATCTATTATTCGATGCGTACTTTTAACTTCATAAAAGAAAACGAGAAAATTGAAAATATCCGAGTATAAAGTTTTTAATCGAAAATACCGAGTAGAGCGGTAATAATAATACAATTTTATACTGCACAAAATTTACTTTACACCGGTATCACAGGTTACCCACCTATATAATTTTAAATGTTAATTTTAAACTCGATTACATATATTATGTATACGTGATAATATACCGCTGCAAGTTCATATTTCGCCCGCAATAACTGTAATAATACGTATAGGTATACAAAACGTGATCCATTATATTATTATATACACTTTCAAAAAGAAAGTGTATTGTCAAAAATTTTCAAAAAAAAAAAAAAAAAAAAAAAAAAAATGAAGCACGGATTTTTATTTATTTATTTATTTATTTTTTTTTATTGTAAAACAGCCAACGGGTGTGTATAATACGTAGGTACCTATATACGTGCATAGAAAGTGCACATAACAATAATAATAATAACTTCACTGCTCCAATGGTTTCAGCGGTTCGTATTGCTCTCCTACATCGAGTTACGTCACATCGCGGCTTAACACTACTACCTATACTATACATTATATAGGCACGGGTATTATTATTGCCCCGTGCCCGACGCTGCAAATGACCAAGTAGCGCACAGAGCGCACACGATTCTCGATTTGCGGATGAACCCGGAGGCCACGCGATTGTGTGATTATTAGTGCTTGAATAATGCCGACCGATGCACGAAAAGATACATTATTATTATGAATACTGCGGCAGTGTAGTTGACGAAAAATAAAAACAAATATCATGCGTATATAAATCGATTTCTCTTTCGCGAAAAATCAAAAACCGCCGTGTAAACAATCGTAATATATTATTATACGCGTATTGCGTACCGCATATGAATCATCGACTAAAAAAAAAAAAAATGATTTATTTATTTACATACACAATTTTCGTTGACAAACGAAAATAAAAAAATCGGGATATAATTGCAGCTATTGGGTACTGTAGTGGCACAGTGAAACGTCCCTGCCCACGAGGTCGACTTAATTCGGGAGTTGTGACATCCTCCAGCCACCACTGACCGATATAAATACATTGGACATCATGAACTTATTCTTGGTATCCGTTTGGCAGGTGATTTTTTATCGAGAGAACGGGAGCAAAATAAAACGTTTTCCCAAAAATATAGACAGTAATCGATCTAAATGTTCAAAGACTTTTCAAGGGAGACACGTACGATGATGTGCCCGTTTTTTGCCTCCCCCCATTTAGCGCCCTATGGAAGTTAACACCCCTTCAAATATTCTGAAGCCTCTTGAAAACGTATTGTAAACTTTATAAACTGTAAAATCGGATAATATAAATCATAAATATTATAATAATCGTTTTTTTTTCCTGAATTACTATTATTTTCAAATTTTAAATCGGGCATATTATTAAACATTTAACAGATCGTACGATTATAATAATCAAACATCTACCGCGTGGTGTTCTTATCCGTAGCCGCCCACCCGTTCTAAAACATTCAGAGGCCACGACCTCTTAAAACTCTTTCATCACGCCACTGCTTAGTAAGGTACTAAGGTAATTTGGTTGTCACACTGAAAACGCTTTTAAAACCATTGCGAACAAACAATGTCTGACCATTTTGACTAATTAAAGTAGTTTTTTCCAGTGTAATTTAGAAAATATTCCAAAATTTAAGTCTATTTATATTTTTAGAGAAATAAAAATATAAAAAATCCGGTTTCGATATGTTAGCGAACCCTAGCTACAATTATAGATCCTGTCCAAAACCGGCATGTTGTAATTTTGTTGTCAGATTTTCCATGTGTAATTATTAAGAACAATGTGAAGCGTTAAAAAAATTTAAAAATAAACGTTTCTTGAATTTGCCGACTTTAGATTAAAAACAGTAAAATAAAAATTGCACTTAAATTCAAAAAATGATTAAAATTTCGAAATTGTTGAAACTTTACTTTATTTCTTATTCAGTCGATAATTTTGGACTCGCTCTTTGGAATTTTGAAATTCGAATAAGAAAATTCAATTTTGCGTTTTCTGTTATGAGTTCCATTTTGGTCACGCGACGTAAAAAAAAAAAAAAAAAAACAAGATTTTTCATTATTATTTATATTAATATTAACTTTTTTCTTGTCACGGGCGACAGTTACAAAATTTCACCGAATTTCCCTGCACAAAATTATCGATTACCAAATAAATCGAAAAATTACAAAACATTTTGTACACCAACTGTACATTATATCGTAAAATTGTTTATTTTCGTCCCACACGTCAATTTCCAATCAATAACAGTATACGGTATGACCGCAATATAATATTATATCCGACTGTCATCACGTGTCAGTTTTAGAGTAGGTACATGGGTATTACCTAGCTATTTACTTAAAAAAAAAATAAAAAGGAGAAAAACACACACTTAAAACGTGTATACTCTCACATTCTCTTAACGCCAATAAATTGCATTACACGCGACGGATAAACACAGTGAACGAGTATTTCAAAAAATCAAATAGACATACGCTATATTAAATTACGGTAGAACAATATCGAAGACGTCAGTTAACGCCTGTAAATTCCTCGCAGTTCAACGTACTGCTCGTAATATTATTGTATACTATTCAGACAATCGTTTGAAAAATGAAAAACTGAAAAACTGAAAAAAAAAAAATGTAAACAAGCGTGTTAACGCGTAATTTTTAATAATTCAAACCGCTCATCGGAATCGTTTTTGACTGTCGCGTCCGAACTAACAAACAATGAATAATGACAACACGCCACCACTATTTCGCCGTATTTCTATTTCGCGTACTGCACAGACGTCTGCACGGACATCGTGTAGAAGACGTCGTACCCGTACCCGGTGTCCGCAAACTCACCTGTGTCGCAATTATATTGTTTTACACAAAGAACACAATACTCTAAAATCAAATTGACGAGTAGCTGTACGGTTTGACAGTCATTGTGCGCGGCTCCGTTGACGCGGTATACGAGCTCCTCGAGACATTGTTTATAAACCTATATAAACCTATACAGTGAAACCTCTGAATAGCGGACACTCTCGGTCGCCGAAATTTTGTCCGCTATTTAGAGGTGTCCGTTAAGGGAGGTTTCACTGTATATATATATTTATAAACCGACGGGCAATATAGGCAGTGTATAATTTGAAATTAAAATCTTTTCGAATGTTTTTGCTTTCGTGGAATTTAATTTTCAAAATAAACGTACCTGTACACCGCCTATATCGTTATAACACTATCGTGGTATATTGTATTTCATAAAATAATTTCCTATAGCATAACCTCGATTTAATAACAAACAAACAAATAAAATATCGTAAAATAAAAACATACTTTACAACGCGTTTTATTGAGAAGAAAATAATTCGTTTTAATTATAATTTTGTTCCGCCGTACCTATAATAATACAGTATCATACTCGTATCGTCATTGTGTAGAATTCATAATAAAACTGAGATTTATATGTGTCACTTGAGAAAATTTTCAAAAACGACATTCAAACATCGGTTTACAACAATATTTTAAACGCTTGTGTTTCGACATTTTAAAACTGTATATCTTGCTCTTTCTTTCTCTCTTTTTTTTCTTTAAAAAAAAAAAGGTTTTTTGAACTTATCATTTTTTTTCTACAACAAAGTTCGGTCATTAGACCCGTTTAAGTAGCAATAAACTCCGCTTTAATATATCGCCGTCTCTGTTAATTTCCAATGGAAATGGAGAAAAATAAAAACACAAATAATATTTATAAATCCGACTTTCAGAAATCACTTAAATTGTGTTAAACTATTAAAGGATCGTATATTTCCCTTTCTCTCTAATGGTTTCAATTCGAAGATTGGTTTGCAGCTAATTCCTACTCTTCTCTACTATCCGTTTTCCTTTTCATTTGTACATATGAATTGTATCCTTGGTCCCTTATTAGCTGCTGTACGTATTCTAGTCTTGGTCTTCCTCCGCGATTCTTTCCTTCCACACTTCCTTCTATAATCAGTTTTAGTAATCCTTATTAGTTATTCTGTCCATCCACCTTATTTCCAATATCACCTTATGCAACCCCACATTTCAAAAGCTTCCAAACTTTTTTGCTCCTCTCTTGATATTGTCTAGGTCTTATACCCATATAGGGCTACACTCCATATTATATCGTATGTGTCTTCAATAGGTTTTTCTGACTTTAAGGGTAACGTTCTTTGAAGTAAGTAGGGTTTTCTTATTGTTAAAAGCTAGGTTGGCTTGGTTAATTCGTTTTACTATTTCACTCGTATTACGGCCGTCCTCGATTATTGTACTTCCTGAATAGTAAACATACGTCCTAAAGGATCGTATACAAATAGTATTTTTCAAAAACTATCGGTACACCGAAAAAAAAAAAATACATCCGGATCGTATCCGGACTTGATTTTTGTCCAGGTAAACAATATGAAGCCAAAGAAGTCTGTATACGTATATATGATATATTTTATCTATGAAACAAAAACTCTATCGATCGACTTGGTAGGTTTTTGTACGAGTATAATAATAATAATTAGGTATAATAGTATTAAGGAAAGACGTATAGCGCATTAATAAGGTAGTTTAAAAGTCCTGTTAACAATACATTACACTTTTCGATTAGAATCGTTATAGTTTCGATTTATACATTATTATTACTGTCCATTGTTTTGTTCGACGACCCGTGATCACTGATCGCAGATATCGAGATAGGTACGCGATATATTTTATAATTTATATATATATCTTTTATTTTTTGATACGAAACCGCAGGCCTCGTGTCACGTTACAACACCAGAAAACTGCTTTCGTGTTTCGATATTATAATAATATTACGTGTACAGCGTTACTGTCCACGAACGGGGTTTCGCGTTCGGGTGCTCGTGACCGGTCGAGACCACGCGCCGTCCGGGTAAAGCCCTCTAAGCGGTTTTCTATATATTTTTATTTTTTATTATTTTTTTTTTTTGCAATTTAATGTGTATCGTCCCCGTCGGCTGTCCGTGTTGCAATCATATACATGTAGCGCGCATACCCCGTACCTACTGTGCGCAATTAATTTCCCGACATCCCGAAGACGGTGAACTCTATTTAGGTCAAACTATATAATATTATTGGCCGTATGCGCATATTGTAATAGCCGAACTTCGTTTTTCCTCGTGTGGTATCGAAATCGTTAATGTCGGCCGCGTGTAGTTTAATTACGTTCTGAAAATCGGATGTAATCCGCTTATTAGCTTTTTATACGACCAACATAGAAGAAAAATCAATTTTAATTATCGCGTATTCTATAACAACGATTACGAGTAATAACTCTCGTATACCATATTTGTTATTTAGTCCACGGACAAATGGTTCACTAAATAACACGGTCTACTCCCGAAATGTCTATCACATATATTGTCTTCGCACATGAAACGTGCCTACAGCAGCATTGACAACTAAAATAATGTCTATATTTACTTAAGCGCAACAATTTTTTTTAAATATTTTAATGGTTTTTGTGTAGGCAAAAGACTAGTTTAAAATTAATGTTTATAATTATATACATATGATTTAGTTGTTACTAGCGATACTATCGTTTTAGTTGCGGATCCTCGACAAATATTCAGTTAAATTTATAGGCATCTGTATAGGCTGTATGTTATATATTATGGCACTTTTCGTTTCAAAATCCTACAAAAATGATTATGTTCCAGTCGCTAATAATTTGATTTGCCATTTACGAAGACCGAGGAAAATGGACAGCGATTCGTAACTTATTGGATGTGTATTAAGAGCTGATATTTGCAATGAAACATACAGTAAAGCAGCACCAGGACGGAACAAGAAATCATTACCTCAATTATATTTTTAAAGGACTGCTCACTCATATAGAGGCATCAGGTTTTCAAAATGTAATGGGGGGGAGGCTCACTATTTTATAAGTACATATACAGTTTTACCTAAATCTTACCATATATTTTCTATATTACTAATAAACAGTTTGAGTGTGATAACAAAATATGATAAAAGGTGTACGCACCGTTAAGGTGTATTGATATCAATCCGTTATCATAACGTTCATATACCGACGTATCGTTAATTAGACACCAATTAACCAAGAACCTGATTGATTACAAACATCTGTTTTTTATACACTTTTTCTTTGCTATCAATATCAAAAAAAAAAAATATTATCTTTCTTAATTAATTTATTATAAATAAAATTAGTATTTCGAAGATGTATATAACAAATATTGATTTTTTTTGTTTATAACATGAGAACCGTGGGGGGCTGAGCTCTATCTTATCAAATTCATGGAGGGCTGCAGTCCCAGAGTCCCCCTGTAAATGGGGCGTCTGCATATATATACGCAAACCCGAACGGAATCGAAACGGGAAAAACATTAACCCGAACAAAATGGCGGGCACAAAATAGATACATATTAGCTAGCGTATATTATTATGTATAGTATATAAATTTTACAAAATATAAGAGAACAAGATTAAAAAGCGTTTTTTGTACTTGATATTAAAATATATTATTTTTTTTTAAATAGACAGTATGCCTGGTTACTACCGATTTTATTTTATACAAGTAATGAACATTTGCGCACACATTATAGTTGAAAAATTACGTTCGGTAAAATTTACTGTAAAAACAATGGTGGTATAACATACCACCTGTATTCCATTAAAAATATCGATAGTTTGTGTAATCTATGTTCTGTATTGAGTCTTAGCCTGTGCCTTTCACTATAGTCTTATAATATATTTTCACGTATAGGCGATTCGATTACCCAACAACTGCAAACGGAAACTTAAAAAGAACTTAAAAAGTAGGTATAATGAAACGGTTTTTTTTTCTTTTCACGATTACCTAATGCATAAAGTATAACGACTCCGGATTATAGACTGTGCAGAGTAATCGGATTAATTTTAATTTAAAACGAATTTTGATTTTTCAGTTCGATTTCAACAATACTCTATAGTTACATATAGTCTTACTATTCCGACTTTACCGCACACCAAATCTAATCAAAATGTCTATTTTTGAAGTGTCGACCATTTGTTTCAATAATGCTGACGTCCGAATTGAGTTTTCGTCGCCTATAAAAACGCTTGTTTAAAATAATGTATACAAAATTAAAACGCACCAAAATAAGAATCACGTGATAATAATAGTATGCTGATAAATCGTGCCGTGGAAGTTTGTTTTACATTTTAGATTGTTAAACTGTGAACATTCTTTAAAAATACAAACATTTTAAAAGTATTTCCAATTTTAACAGTCTTGAAATCTCCGTCGCACGAAGTTAGTTTTCTATATTTTCTCTGACGATATGATTAAAAACATAACATTATAATATATTTTCGGGAATTTCGTCTAAACAAAGTTACGTTTCAACCGTGCGTCATTAATTGATCATGAAACCGCGCTCGTCTTTATATAAGTATACTGTCACCGATAAGCGGAATGCAGGAACTTATACGCGTTTAACAAATATGTTCGTCGACGCATGTCTATATATTTAACGTACCTGTTTATTGCTCAATCAACTAAAACTGTTTTTCCAATCGAAATCGTCAATAGTATAAAATTGTGAAATCCACGTCCGATAAAAGTAAACGGAACTTGACTTCTATATGTATATACACAGATATTATACTCTATCGCAACGAATCCAATGAATAGGAAAAAATCAAAACCGCTTTTCTCTTCTTCTTACCGCACAGATGACGAAAATGTTTCCGATACGTTTAGTTCAAACCCACAAATTACGAATCTACTAATCAGATCACGCTCACTATTATATACAACTGATAATCTCAAATAACTTTCTTAATAAAGATTTGACAGCATCGTACTGGCTGAAAATGTGTAGAAATGAAGAAAGACGAAGTAATATGTCATATATTATATAGGTACCTGCCAGATTAGGCAACCCAACGAAAAAACCGATTTAATTCGCGACGAAGTCCTTAAAAAGGATGTCCGACCTAACAAACAACTAACGCGTCTACAGCTGGAGAAACTTACAATTATTACAAGACCACTATTATTTAACACTAAATAAAATTAATGTCCCAAAGCCCTTTAGGATAAAAAAAAAAGAAATAATTAGATTTTTTTGTTATGACGAACTTTTCTCGGTACGTTCGTATAGATCGGGACTACTGGATCAATCGACAGTAACGGCACTGAACAAAACGGGCGAAGTTTTTTATTTTCCGGAATTTAGGACTTTTGGATATTCCGTGCAGGTACCGTATCCAAATCCAAAAGGAACTTTAAGTCTTTAATCGTTTTTTAATGCTAGCCTTGACGTTTCCTTTAATCGCGACCCAGCTGTTTTACAATGTGTATATTCTAATATTTCGAAATAATTGTACAACGATGAGTCAGCTGTCACACCAAAACGAATACGCATATACCACGATCGCGCAATGGTTAATGTTCTATTAAACGTTTAAAAATTCACGAAAATTCATTCAACACGTTGATAAATCATCAATTTTAATAGCGAAACAACACTGATAGAAAACTAGAATTTTAATGAGTTCGTATTGTATAATATCGTAATTAATTGAATACCAAAGACGGCCGTCGTCGTCGCAAATGAAAATTTAAAAATTACCGTTAATTAAACGATAAAAACGTGTTTTTTTTTTCAAATAGTCATATGATGTATGGAATCAAATTTACAGAATTACAATAGTTTTGTTAATATAATATATTGTTACCACATACAGTCATGTCCATTTACTCGTGGAACTTGACGCCACGAGCCACGGTCTAGTGGAATTGTCCTACTAAAGTGCGGTGTTTACCGGATAAAACAATGATTTTAAATAACATTATACGATCTGGTTTGAAAAATAACTCTCGATTACACGGAGATATAATCTCGGTTGAGTAATATAATATGCTCTGCGGTTTATTAAATATTCAATGTTTGTCCAAACAAAATGATCACATAAACCTGCAAGAGCCAATTACTACCTACCAAGTGGAAATGAGCGATTTAAATCTATTTATTATATACACAGGTGATATACAGAATGATATACATAATTGTATTGCTATAAAAACCTATTGGGTAACTCGAAACTTGTTGTCGGATAAATTACTTAAGTCCGCGTATTATGTTATATTCAAAACGCGTAGGTACAACGAGAATACTTATCTAATTAAAATTGATTTATCTGTCGGGCCGGAGAACGTAAACCAAACTTAGACTGAAGAATAAAAATGTATAAACGTTTTATTACAATAAAAACTAAATAATATTGCAAAAATAATCCGGATTTTATTAATTTTATAAAATAATTATGGTTTATTTTTATTTTTATTATTATTTTAGATTCTGAGTAGAGCGAGGAATGTATTGGTTTACGAGACGTATTATTTTCAAATCGTAATATTACGGTTTTTAAAAACATGTATAACTGTATGCTCAGAATCGCTTTTCATTAGCAAAGATCAATCGTTGCATACAGATATACATTAAATTCACCTCTATATCCTACCTTCTTAACTTCACTACAACAGTGGCCCATCGTACCCATCGTGTGAAATATGTCAGTCTTTTTATTAGATACATTTCTAACAATGTCGTTAGGATTTTTTGAATTGTATATTATAATACTTTAAAACACCCATTAGCTGCAAAACTCTGTCATTTGTTACTCGAGTTGTATTTTCTCCCAGCCAACTTGTCACCGTAACAATAAAGATATTTTTTTTTTCTTAATCTATCTTAAATAGTTATGGTTGTCAGATTTTTATTACATTTTAGTCTGTAAAGGTACTTATTTAAAATCTGGTATATCCTGTGAAGACTTGAAATTTGAACATAAAAATAGTCGGAGGGTGGAGAAACCACCGAAAAGAACGTCCTTGATACTTATATCATGCATATACAACATTTTAACATCTTGACTTTATTTGAGGGGGTCTGTATAGGCGTACACAATTTAAAAACATCCTCCTCCCGCAATAACACGGTGAAATTCATATTGAAATCCAATCAAAATTTGATCACTTCAATCTGTCTATAATACCACTATAATTGCCTAGCTTCAGTTAATTTGGTCTAGGTGAGTCGCTGAAAGTATCTAAAAATGATTAGAAAAAAATATGTTATAACTTAACAGACACCGCAGTGAAATAATTTTTTTGGGAAAAATTCTACAATTATATATTTGATTTATGATAAACGTATAAAATAAATCGAAATCAAAGTTTTAAAATCCAAAATCCGGATTTCAAACAAAATGTTCAGATTTTCGAACTTTGGCAAATCCGAATTTTCCGCCATCATCACGATGTAAGTTCACCGGTTATCTCTGAATATTGTTATTATTTTGATCGTTGATTGTAAGTACAACAATAATAATATATAATATTATCATTTACCTTATACACTTCATATTATATAGATGTACAAATATATTCACGGTCAATGTTATCACCGAATTCAAACCTATATATTCCAAACGACACCTAATAATGTTATATGTTCAAATGAAATTCTGTTTATATGCACGTCTGTCCGCTATACATATCTACAGTTTTATTCCGATCTCGATGAAACTTTGCACAGTTAACAGTCGAAACAGGAGGGAGATCCCCGTCTTCTTTATCTCGAAATGTAACCCCGGAATGGCGACTGACAAAGGTTTTATGGTATTTTCGGAATGAAAAAAAAAACCATTTGTACGGTTTACCTCGGCGACACAGATGATAAAAACGATTATTATTATTTTAATTTGATTGTCAACTTGTCATAGACAAGGTAGTACCTATTCATATTAACTAAATGGTTTTGTTGTATTTTTATAATTATTTACAAGGACAAGGGTGAAAACTGGGAGATACAGCGAATCCAGGAATTTTCAAAGGGAGGGGATATAGGCGGTAAATAGCGAAATCACGAGTAAACTGTGTAAAATATTGTTTTATACCTAATCCGACACTTATTCAATTAACCGAACTTTCCCTATTAACTTGGTCGTGACAAAAAATGTTCAGATTAAATTTCCGAATAAATGCTCAGAGGTGTTATATTTTTAAGCCACGGCTCAAGAGGCACATAACCCCTCACTCTCCTCGTCCGTTCACACCAGTAAATTGCAAGTACCCAATACACGACATCAGCAGCCGTGTCGTCATACGTACCTATAGGTAGTCGAAATCTACAAAATAATTATTACAATATACAATATTGCACTAGGTACGGGTCAGTACCTATACTCGAATAATATAATCTCAATACACTTTCTTTAATCCCGCGTCTGCGTGCGATTTATCGGTACCTAGGTAGGTGTGTGCGTATCTATAATACACACTGATCCCCGAATAATGTCGGACACGAATAATATACATGACCCGTTTTTTTTTCTTTTTTCGTGTGCATGTGTATACAACAATAATAATAATATGATCGCTTCGCGTGTATGTATGTAAAGGTATATGAGAAGGGGGGGACATAATATATAATTATAAAAAAATTAGTAATGCGTGCTCCGTTGCCGCCTCGGACTACTGACAAAAGAACGGATTCGTGACTGTACAGATGCTTCATTACCATCTCTGCTGATTTTGTGTACAGTTATACCATTATTATTATATTCATAAGGCACACACAGGTGCGAGATAGGCCCGCTGGGAATCGGTTATTTATCTCGGGAACCTCCTACCAGTGACCACATTGACTCGGAACGACTATTACGCGTTATGTGTATATAATTATCGGCGGTTTTTTTTTTTATTTTTTGTCCACGATAGGGTGTCAGACGTAACCGCGTTCGCAGTTAACACTGGGTTTCCTTATAATAATATAAAATATATTATAAAAAAAAAAAAAAATGTTTTAAAAAAATATACCGTGTCTACGATATTTATAATTAGACGGGTATATATTTTAATTTGACCAGAAAATAAATTGTATTATTGCCAAAGGGCACGCTACCGCCACAGTCGTGTATAAAACCGAAGCAAATTCGCATCGAGAACGGTCAAACGGACCGCGCGGAAAACGCGGATATGGTCCGTCAAATAATTGGGACTTTCGTCATGAGAACGTAAAACAATTATACGCAATAAATAAATAATAACATTATAAGTACTTACTGTACCTACGTATTTTTCGTTCTAATTCAATTAAAAAACAAATTTCAAAAATCCAGAGGTATATTAGGTATTTCACACCACGAGTAATATTAGGCCACTTGAGGCTGTTGTGTTTTAAGCGCAGAAAAGATTGGAATATTGGTATGATTATAGGTCTATAAGGTGATTATTTAGTTTGAACACGAAACGATACATCGTTGTAAACAAAAAACGGTTTTGAACGGTACACGGTGAATTTTTAAGATACCTAACTGGCATTATATTTAGTCCAGTTTATTTTGTTTTAAATCGTTGGATTCAAGAATCCAGGGAACTCAGAATTCAACGAACATTTTAAAAAAAAAAACAAAACTATTTGTAATCATCTTGTATTCAAAATTGTTTATATTGTAAAAAAGTAACGGAAATCATTCGCATAGATGCAATGCGATCAATTTTAGGCAATTTTACTAAGTTTTTTTCGAGCAAAAAAAAACCACGTCCTGGCAAAACTAAAGTAGCTTTTTCGCTATACACTCAGAGTAAAAATTATTAGCCATAGGTAGAGGGGGATTACGATCGTTTAAATAAAATTGACAGAAATGTGGAACCAGTAATTTCGATAATTTCATAACACAGAATATATATAAACTATTATAAGAAAGTAGTATACATTTTCTACAATTTTTAAATGGGGAACTCACTTCACAATTATTTAGATTTTAATTAGTGTTTTTTTTTTTATTTTACTCTATAATGTATTATTTAGATTTTTAAAAAAAAAAAAATTGACATTGAAATTTACTTAAAAATATAGGTGTATTCCGAAATTCCGTTACAGCCACAACATATATTTAGTTAATTAGAGAATTTTTTTTTATCCTCATCAATTTAGCAACACAACATAGAAATGCGTGCATCGCGTAAAATCATTAACAGCAAACCGTATCTGAATATATTTTAAATAACGAAATATACTGACGTTATATGAACTCGTTGTGCGGGAATATTAAAAGGGAAAAAAAATGTTTTGAAATATTTTAAATTTGTTTTTAGATTGTACGCAAACCGAAGATTTATTGGTTTCAGTAAACTATGGGAAGGTTTTTTTTTTTTTTGTAAGTAATTAAAATAATCAAATAAGAATGGTTTTTTTTTTAAGTAATTATAATAATCAAATAAGAATGTTTTTTTTTAAATCGATAGTCTCAACGATTGTGCGTAATATAAATTTATAAAATAATAATTTTAAGTTATCAACATCAAAATATAATACAATTATATTATTACACGGTTAACCGTGTAATCGCAAAAATAATTATCCTTCTTTAAAATTCTTTACCGTTTAACAATGCGTATTTATAGGCATATTTTTTCGTAATTTCACGTAAAAATAAAAAAAAATTCTTAAAAACAAATTAGTCATATTTTCGTTTGAGTGGCTTCTAAATTTTCTACAAATGTATAAAAATTTGATAATTATTTTTTACCATTAAATGGCCATCTTGATAATTTTCACTAATCAATTGCCCGATACCCATTTAAGGGGGTACAGCCATTTTTTACAGACGCATATACCGGTTTAGACCTAATAAGTTGGAGTTCAATTCATTCACTATCACCGGTCCAATTTTAATATTGGATACTTAGATTCCTTGTCTGTGTTTTAGAAAGCATACATATTGTTCGATGTTCTTAAAATAATCTCGTACTTAAAAGTGTCACAAAAAAAAAAAAAAAAAAAAAAAATGAAAATATTTTTCCTACAAGACAGAAAAAAACTATACATCGAATCATAACACTTTTTAGAACAGTAATTGAACTATACTGGAAGTGTGTTTATTTTACTCCAACTCATAGGTTTAAACGTATGAAAAAAACGAATCGCATTCGCCCGTCTTAATTGAAATCCAGTGAAATTAAATTAATTGTTGGAAAATAATATTTCGTATAAAATCGAACGCGATGTACGCAGTTATTATACTGCAAATCGGTGTAGAAAGTTATTAATAGAATTACAGGAAAAAAAAATGTAATTTATAACACAGTAGATACCGATTATAATGACATCGGATGTAGTGACGAATCGGGTGTTATGATCTCAATTCGAAGATCCCAAAACTCTAATAATATTTTACTTATTACTTATTAATACAATTGTACGGATGTTATGATGTTTATTTTTGATTATATTGGAACGATCTGTTATCTATAATGACCGTAATCAGGCACGCATACAGGGGAGGTTCAACCCCCTTCTAGAATATTAACAGTTGTGTAATTTATTTATAGTAATTTGATATTTTTTTTATAAAATATCGATAACATTGGTATTATTGTAAATTTTTTATGTACCCCGCCCGAATTTTTGTTTTTGTATACGTGCCTGACCGTATTATCGAAAGTATAATAATATAACGACCGATATTGCTACATGAAAGTACTGCGTGATTTTTTAAACAAAGTACAAGCTAAGAAAAAAGATTTATTTTTTTTTTTAATTCACTAAAAATTTAATTTTAAAATAATAAAACAATTTATTTATTTTTTTGTATGTATTGGAGTCTGCACGGTTTAATGATAACAATACGACACATTGATTGTAATACAATATTATTATGTTCATATAAAATACACATGCACACAAAATAAAGTTTTTAAATATTATTTTGTCATTTCGGTTATAATGACAATCTGTTATGATTGTTTTTAACTAGTTACTTGAATGTCATTACAAACGGTTTCTACTGTACGTATTTGTGAAAATTATTTTTTCGGCGTAAATATAATTTTGTATTTTCATTTTCATTTTTTTTTTTTCTTTGTCATTATTAAATAAGTAAAATGACCGTTGGGTCCTACTATACGTCTAGGTATACGGTACTTAATTGTGACTTTTTTTTTTTTCCAGAGGTTTTTTTTTTTTTCATCTCTGTTCTTCGTTCCGTGACTGATTCGAGTCGGTGATCTATTGTGTATAGAAATGTTCAGTCATAGGGAAAGCCAATACTTAGGTTTACTATGTATAAATTAACAACTATTATGCATTGTGTCTATATGGATATTATCGTTAATTCGGACGAACCAACACGTCTATTATTATAACCCACCTATTTAAGACGTAAGTATAACATTAAAAAGATATTGATATTATTATAATTTGGTCTCACTCCTATAGCGTTACGCCACTATTTTGACATAGTTTTTTTTTAAAAATTTTTTTCGAGCACCCGTTTATGGATAATATATCGCAATTTTTTTTTTAATCGTGTTTGTCCCGCCTAAAACAATTAATATTTGTGACAGGTAATTGCGGCAGCTAATAAAACTACTTTTTTACTATACATTAACAATAAGAATTTTAGAAACTTCGTTTTTTTGTGGTTTTATTGTCGTCCACTGTTCGAATATTATTGTGTCTACTCTCTGAGTACGACGTACCCACTCTATTTATTAGATTCTAAGCAAAACGAGAAATGTATTAGAATTTACTATAATATGGATTTTTTTTTTTTTTTTGTGTCCGTAAACAACTTTTATATTTACCAGAAATCTCGCTTCAATCATAAACTTTATGTAAAACTTTCTTATAGGTTTTTTTATTTAAACGGTGCATAGAGGAGGTTATTTTTTGATTTACTTCATAGTTTTCTTAGTAAATGGACAAAACTATAGAAATCGTTCGTGTAATTTTTGTTGATTTCACGGTTACCTTGGCAACAAGAAGAAAAATAATAGCTGACTGCTGGTCGGTGTGCCAATGTTATTGGTGGAAAGTTGAGGACAAGGAAGGACACATATACATTTATTTTATTTTTATTTTTATAATTTCCAAATTTCCTTCCTAGAACAACAGCACATCCATTAGCATTCAGCCTTTTTGTTTTTGCTTTAATTACTGTTTTTTTTTTTCAGAATATACATATAAACCTATAAGCATTAGATAGAGTACATGATAATCGTACACGGCCAGTATTTTAAAACGATAGTTTTTTTTTTTAAATTTCAACTATGCAATTTGAAGAAAAAAAAACAACGTTAAGACGGACAGTTAGGATTTTTTAAACACGTGTTGCGGTTTTAATTCTACATACACTCGAATCGTTTTCGACATTCGAATTAAAATTAATAACATGCATCAACGCTAATACACTGTATTATAATCATCACCATAAGAATACCGAACCTATATAGAAGAACTGAGCAAAACGAGATGGGTGCCAAACATCCGACATCTCAATCTTACATAATGGTGTATAGGTATAATATAGACCACAAGTTTGTATTGATGCACTGTATATAATAAAATAATATTGTACAATTATTATTCATTTTGTATAAAATTTTTTATTCGTTCGGTAAACCGCATGTATACGACAACAGGATGATAAAAAATATTTTTTTGTTTTTAGTATTATTCAAACATTAAATGCTAAATTTTAGACACCAAGCGTAACGAGGAAAATTTATTGATTTTACTATGATAGGTACGCGGATTTTATTAAAATTGAAATTTACTGTGTACGTTTCTGGAAATTTTATTAGTTTTTTTTTGATTTCATGTGGATGAAATGTTTTGCAATTTCACGCTAGGTTCATCATAAGTAATTGGTGTTAACAAAATAACAAGTTGTGTGTAATGTAGAAGTTTTTTATAAGCATTTTTAGTTTAAATTATTTGTTTTTATATTTTTTTTTTTTTGTAGGTACTTATCCACATATTAATAATACTACTATACAGCTGTCCCGCTCGACGTTGCTCGTTAATTCCCCCCCCCCTTTTTTTTTGACCATTCAAAAACAGAATTGTTAAAAATCCTTTGAAAAACTGAAATCAATAAAAGGCGATCAGTTTAACGCGTTTCACTGTTTTCACCCACGCCCCTATTGTACAGTTAACCGTCGTAAAGAGGGTAATACCTCCTTGCCGGTCGTTACAACCAAATTAACTAATGATAAATATTTATTTTTTATTTCATTCATGTTCCCTTAGTTACCCATAAACAATCAACAAAAATAATTCGATTTTCGTTCCGGAAATACCAAAAACCTCGCGTCAGCCACCCTTTAGGGGTTGAATTTCGGAAATACGAAACGGATACATTTACCGTTTCTTTATGCAAATGTGCAGACTCTGTAACGCGTACGGTAGATTGGATCGTGCATAGACAGTCAAATAAACACAAATCACGTTTTAAAAAGTATTATCAGTCGTTTTTCCCTTGTTCCGGAAACCGAGAAATCAACAAAACTTGTACGAAAAATTGCTAGATAAACCATTTCTTCTAAGCACCTACTTGGGCCAAAAATGCTTCAAAAAAGTTCCTACAATAGTTTTGATTGGAGCAAGATTTCTTATAGAAAAATTGTTTACATATACAAAAACACATCCAAGTAAAACCTACAATACATCACACGCTTCTCTCAGACCCTTACGCTTCCTTTCATTAAAATAAATAGGTATTATTATTGTTTATAATACTCAAAAAATGTAATCATTAGACCTTATAATAGATGTATTTTAAGCAACCGTCGTTTGACAAGTATCTTAATTTCCGGTTAATGTCGATCGTATAAAAATGTTAAAATGTCACATAAAAATATGATTTTACGACCGTTCGGTCAAATTTTTAATCGAAACTTACATCGCAGATTGAATTAACTGATACGTTTTTTTGTTTTTTATAGAATTGATATTTTTATTATTTTTTTTATAGGTCGTACTTAACGAATAACAACATAATATTATTGTATTAGATGGATAGGTATATAATTATATGTTTCTTCTTACCTTGGCTTCCGACACACCCCAACCATATCGAAATGAATAGTCCGACTAGTAGGCATCCTATGGTCTTTCTAAGCATTCTACACGATGTTGCAGTAGTAACATTCCTGTATCTAACTAAAAACAAAAACAAAACAAAACAAAATATCAAAATCCGATTTATGACGTACAATTATATTTTTACCGGTAAAACGGTATTCAAAAATTGTGTCACGTATTTCTCTTGTCCAATGGAGGTTATAGGTATATTTGTATTTTATTTCGAGATACTATGAAATAATATGACCCACCAGTCGAATCAATAAAAATTCAACTTTAAAATCGTCTCGTACGCTCGTGTATAATACACTTACTACACTTAGGTACCTACTCGTCAACGTCAGATTATTGTATCACGGTATTGTATCGTTTTCACGCAATATTTTGCACGTGTTTATGATGATACAACCTTTAGCCGACTAAAATATTATTTAGGTCGAAATCCAATGCATAAAGGCGTGAAGAGTGGCTCGACCAAGGGTGGCTTGGAGATTATAACACCCCTACCGTCACGATATTTTAGATTTTTCTTTTTATGAATTATACTTATTGTGTAATTTGTATTTTCTCTTACAGTTTCATACGTTTTTTTGTAATTTTTAATATGCGTACGTTGTGCTTTTCATCTGTATTTAGTAATTTATTATCTCGATATCGTGTCCAGAAATTTGTTTGAATTTCATAACCCCTCCCCCTTTCAAAAAAAAATCCTTGTTGTACTACTGGGTGTGAATACACCCAAAAAAAGAAATTACTGGTGAAAATAGTATTATTCAGGGCGAAAAAAAAATAATGTACAGGTAACGCGTTTTCATTAAGAACGTAGGTATACACTAAGAAGTAGCATTGCATTTAACCACAATAACGGACCACTCGGTGACGGTTTTATTTTTATAACTGTATACTTACACGCGCGTCTACCTATATTATTATGACGTTTATTTTATAATAATTATAATTTTTGTCACACTATTCGTCACCATTTTACAGTACATGGGTACTTCTTCTTATTATTTTGTGGTAAAGCGACAGTATACAAAAAAAAAAAAAAAACTTAATAACCATCCGAGTACTTGCGTCCTTTACTGTGCATGTAGTGGGAATAACATTATGTTCGGAATAATTTGTACACAATCTATAACGACTGACTATACGCACTATAAATACGATACATAATAGAATAATACAAACTGTACAGTTAAAATTCCAGTTGGATTTTCGAAACAAGGAAATATTTAACGTTTAATTTTGCAAAAGACCGAGATAAAATGTGCGTATTAGTATTTTAAATAGGAATTTAAATATCAACCGAAAATATCGCAAAAATATCGAGTAAAAAATTATGTGGAACAAATCTAATTTTTCAATTGCCGATTTCAGAACGAGGTTGAAGTCAGTATTGAGCGGACTGAATAAGTTTCGAAATTATAGTTTTTTTGAAGTTCTGATATAATGTTGCTATTATATATTTTGTTAAATAATTCTATATTGTGCACTCTTTAATATGTTTGTCATAGCCGAACGGTTAAACATACCAATTGTCATGCTTAAGGTTGCGAGTTAAAACCGGTGTTTCGAAAAAAAGATGTTTGCACTAATTTTTTCTCTTTTACCTAAACAGGGAAAAAACAAATGCATTTTAAGTGTACCCAGCAATCACTCGCTTGGACTATTTCAATATAAAAACACTCCTCGATTTGTTGTGCGAACTTTTCTAACGGAGAATACAATATTAAATATTAAATATTATTATAGAAAATATAAAATGCCTATTTAATTATTTTACTATTATATGACATGTATTTACATATTGTTGACAAAGCATCACTATTCACTGAACTGCGCTCGGAATCGTTTTTTTTTTAGCAATGGTTTATCGTTGCCCACTGATATACATTAAATTACCTATAACAGTGGCTGCACCCGTCTCCATTATCTTAGGACGTCGTTTTTAAAACGTATTTACCAATTCAAAACAGCTTTTTTTATAAATACATATTTTCAAACAAAATTTGGGCTTTTAAAGGTTTACCATCATTTTTTTTTAGAATATTTTATATTTATTTTATTTTTCGTTAGTTTTCCACACAATTTTTCGAATTTCGGGGTAATTCAAATTAATTTCTTTGCCACTAAACTAAATAATATCGAGGGATTAGTCAATTTCTTTTGAAAAAATAATTTCGTGATTATTATGATTTATTAAAATTGTAATTGTTTTTAAAAATTTAACGATTTACCATTAGTAAATATTTGGAACAACAAAATATTGTTTCAAAAAAAAAATATATATAAATTTATGAAATGGAGGAATCATTATAGTGCAAGGTTCTAAAAATTATTACCTACGAGAAAAAAAACTTTAAAATATCATTTTATGTGTCAGATCTTCGCGTGATATATTCTGTAATACATATTTTTATTTTATTTTTTTACTTTATATTTATATTTGATATTTTATTAATCTAAAATAACTTTTTTATTCTATGAAAATCATAGATAAATCGCTTGCTTGAGAATGGCACTAGATTTCGTACGAAATAAATCGTGTCAGATAGAGAAGTAAACAATTTTTTGTTTTTTGAATAGGTATAACACAAATGGAAAAATAGAAATTTAATATCCGGTAAGTATATAATATTTTTCATAATTTCTTTTTCTCGCGAACGAGATATAGGTACGAAACCTTATAAATAACTTGGTATATAATATAGAAGTGTATAAAAAAATAATACGGGTATCGCACCGAAGTGTACGACTCGAAAAACAAATTCGATTCTGCATGTTATTCAAAGTATAAAAAATGTTCTAGAATTCTGAACGGACTAACCAGTATTCATTTTTTTTTTTACTTAACTGGCAATGTTATTTTAACCATGTAATAATAATATTATATGTCTTTATAGGTACATTTTTTTCTTTAGGTACAGGCAGGTAGGTACTTTTATCGTTATCTTTTATCGTTTTAGAGTGTAAAATGATTATTGGCACTTATTTAGTGAATCAATGTGCGCTTATTATTTATTGTCGACTATGAATAAGAATTAAAAAAAAAAAAAAATACATTTTTTAGTTTCTTTTGTCGTCCCGATATTCCTTTCTTTCCGTTTATATTAGAACATTTAAGTTAGTATTTCGAATAGATATTTTTTTTTTGAACTTAAATCGTTGTTTACAGATATATAGTTTAAATACTTCTATGTATTCTATCTTTTCAAAATTCGTCTGCTGTGTTGCCAAGGTGCCTCGGAAATCAACAAAAAATTAGAATTTTTTCACATTTCTTAAAAAAATTACAAGAAAAATAAAATATTAACCTCTTGATTACATTAACTAGATCAAAAAAGTTTCCATAAAGTGTTTGATTGGAGTAAGATGTCCGGTAGAAAAGTTGTTTATAGAAATGAAAAAAAAACCACCGTAGTAAAATCAATACATTCTCTTCTCTTTAATCGGAATCTAAAACGTTTTTTTATTATTATTATTTTTTTTTTTTTAATAAAACACGTAATAATGATTTAAACGCTCGATTAAGTCAAAACGATCATTGTGTTAAGTATAGATAGTACGTTAATGTAATTAATTGCGAATAATGCATAATGCGGACATTTTTTTTTCTGCGTGAAACAGTATAGTTTTTATATTAATCCAATATAATTTACGATCTCGATCATAATGAACTTTAACCTATATTATATTGTCAGAAGAAGACAAAAAAACATATAAATATTTTTAGAAAATAACATCGAACAATATATTATAAGTACTTTAAATAAGGTTAATTATTTGTATACTCTTCATTACGAAAAATCGGGAACATTTTAAATGCATCAATTGTTGTATTATAACGATGACTTAGTAGAGACATTTCCTGTACGTAAACCTATTGGCACAGAATCAAACCATGTTCACACCTTATTATTTGCGTATTTTTTAAATTTTTTTTCACCAAATTAATTTCGTTGGCTATTCAAGTTATAGCAATCTAGTGGCACACACTGGAGATTCTGGAAATTTTTTGATGTATATACATCAACCTATACTTACCTAGTGGTCATGTCTTAAATATTCCTATCCCTCATCAGTTATCACAAAGAATTAAATTGTATAAATGAACAATCATTAAAAAATATAGGTAGTTAAGCTATAAATGCTGATTTTGTGTGATTTAGAACGATTTTAAGGGTTGATGGTTGTGTATCATGCACTTCACTATCGTAGTTTAATTTTAAATTAAAGTCGCTGTATAAGTACCCCGTGAAAAACAAAATAATAACTATAGACGAGCTTAGAAGCAATAAATATTTGTTTGAATTCAATTTTCACCTTTTTTACCTATATACAACTGGTGTAACTGGACTATTTGACATTTTTACATTATTTAGTTTTATGAAAAAATGTCAAATAGACCTGTGTAATATCATAACGTGCCTTTTTATAAAATTAATTCGGGTGGAAAAAATATCGTTCTATGTTAGTTAAATCTATACGGTGTACAGTAAGTAGGTGAATACCTACCTACCTAAAGGTAAATATATTATTACACAATGGGTGTAAACAAATAAATACAGTAGATATCGTTTATAACGACACCGGTTGTAGTGACATGTAGGGTGTAATGATCTTAGATTGAAGGTGCCGGCAAAAATCCAACATTTTATGATTATACGGATATTATGACGGTTATTTTTGGTTATATTGGAAAAATCTGTTAGCCATAATAGCAATATTAAACTGTATTCAATTTTAAAATATTTGAACAATTTATTTTTTTTTTTGCCGTATGTATTGAATTCACCATTTAATGATAAAAATATGATACAATCATCGTAATACAGTATTATGTTCATATAAATTAGTATACATAACAAAATTTTTAAATATTATTTTATCATTTTGGCAATCGGTTATTATGACTGATTTTAACTAGTCCATTGAAATTTGAATGCCATTATAAACGGTTTCTACCGTGCATAAAACCGATTTTGCGCCACTACATCATTTAACAATACCACTAACGAAAAAAAAAAAAACTTTTTTTTATATAATTTAAATTTAATTATTTTTGAAGATTCTGGTTTTATACGCAGATGTTTGCTCCGGTTATTATTATTTGGTCTGTAATTTCCCTTTATATATATATATATAAAAAAACAAAAAACATCTATAGTTGTACAATAATTATAACGTTAATTGTACAATATTGAATACATCAATTCACTGTATGATACCGAATTAAGAGTTATACAATTGTGTTTATTTCCGTTAAAACGGAAATTAATACGTGTATTTTCTTCCGGGGTGTTTTTTTTTTTTAATTAGTAAAATCGGATTCTGTATTTGTCTTTATAAATTAACTGCAGATTATTATTAATATGTGTTTTTTTTTTTTTTATCTTATATGCCTATATGTGATCTTTGAATATTCGTAAGTTTAAATATTTCTGCATGTATACCTTAAACGAAATCGTACCGAGACACTGAATAATGAATTTTATTATAATATAAGTACAGATACCTGAAATCAGCGTATGTACATGTACACTAACCTACATAACACTTCGAATCCTAGTCGGAAAATCAAATTATTATTACTGTATCCGTTACCATAATATAGTACAGTGCATATACCTAACGTAAATGATACATTTAGAAATGGTTCTACCCATCAACAATAGTAATCAAGAGACGGTAATTTATTATTAATATTATTATTATTATTATTAGTGTATAGGTGAATAAAATTCCCTTTCACCAGTGTTGCCTTTTGTATAGCTGTACAATTGAAAAAAAAAAAAAAAATCACTTAATGAGTAGGTACCTCGCTATAATATAGGTACAATAGTATGACCGTATATAGTGACTTGATATAACTTAATAATATCGCATCGGGTTAAAGTGTAAACATTTGTGCATCGTGTCGTAATAACATAATGTTTTTTCGTTCATAAACACACATAAAAATACCACCAAACTCTATACCTATTGAATTCATGTAATATCCATTCACTTGAAATTATTCATAGGTACCTATTCAAATAATAGTTCTTTGGCTTCGAAAAGAACCGTTTAAATTCTAAAAACCTGTAAAAAAAAAAAAAATTAAGGAACAACGCTAACAATACCTAAACCTAATAAAATATTATGATAATGTTCATCAAATTGGAAAAGCAATTATATTTTTCCCATTTTCTATTGTACAATGGTCTACATAAAAGAAAACGAGAGAGATTATTTTTCAAGTACAGACAGACAGTTTGATTACAAACAGACTCGGTCCATAAGGTATAAGATTATTATTATAAATGTTCAAATAAGATTATATATTTGTATAAATAAATCCTAATAAAGAACATTGTTAATAAGGAATTTCAATCGAATGAATTCGCGGGCTGGGAACCCGGAAGTTCTGGCATACGTGTTTACGTTTTAGCACACGAGTAAATACGGTATTTCTGCGGACAGATAGAAAACCGAATAGTTCCGAATATCTTGATAATTACTATCTCTAGAAAAAAAAAAAAAAAAAAAGTCAAATTTTAAAACAAACAGATAGAACCTTTTGATTCGTAGCCCGCGCAATCTTAACTTTCAGATAGTAATAAGCCTAGTAATAATTTTGGCTTCGCTGCCCGAGTTTTATGATTGTAAACACCATTCTTGTGAAAACTAAATCGATTATAATTATCCCGTCAGTTTGGGTATCTAAATCTCTAAACTATAAACTCCTGTATAAGGTATCGTGGCCAGGTTCCGTTGATTTTTAAGTACTTAATTTAATAGCTTATAGGTATGGTATACGTTTCACAAAAGTTTCAAAAATGATTAGGTATCATCTAAATAATAGTATCATTTGTTACGCGTTAACATTTTTTCTGTTTAAGTAATATTATTACTGAAGATGTCACCACTCTCTCTGTATAATACTCGTCGTTAACTTATTTTGTAATATACCTAATCGGGCTCTCGGGAAACGAAAAGATCTTTATGGGAAATAGCCTAATAAACTTCTAATCTCTTCCATACACCACAGTTTGGTCAATTCGTTTTCACTGCAGCATAATGTATCTATATTATATTATATAGGTACCTACTGTACGTCACGAAGTCGCCACCAGGCCCTAAAATAGTGTGAAATACGGCACTGTATAAATATTATAATGGTGCAGCACGAATTTGCATTAGTGTAAATACTGGCATGAAACGAAAAAGTGTGCAGCTAATTTTAGTGTTATTATTATCCACTTGTTATAATAAATCGTGTTGTACTAATTTTATCAGTGAAATTCGAAAATCGTTACAAAATTTCTAATGTTAACGCGTTGATTATTTCGATCGGGATTATTTATTTATTTAATTTTTTTTTTTTTCGAAGGAGTAGTATTTAAATGTAATTTTTAGAAGATCCTCGTGTGAATATCTCTGAGACGACTTTGTCTCGAAATCCGTGTTTTCCAAGTATTTTAACACTGCAGTAGTCGTTATAATAATAGTGCAACTTCTTTCGTCGATTACATTGCAGTTTTTGCTGTATACCTATTTAAACACTATACAATATATTCTTATCGGCAATACGTGATACTACGATAGATCCGCGATCCTCGAGTCGTGTATAATAATATTACATTATATGATATCAGTTGAAAGTTCAAAACCCGGTAAAAAGAGACGCGGCGAAAAGCTTTTAAAACGATTATCTACGAGTCTAACCCTCGAACATTATTGGTTTTAACTACAGTTAAATTTACGAGCGATCTCGTTATGACCGATGTACAAACCGGATTATTTCGATTCGATAAGAATATGAAACCTAACAGTACCTAATCGTACGTTTTGTTTGTTATGTTATACCGTCCCAGAGACCTGGTACAATGTTGTTAAGGTCAGGGATAATGTTACGGCGAACGAAATACCTACTGAATTATTGTTAACTTAAAAATAGTACCATAGGCGCATAAATAATAATAATGTTCAATGTTTACTCACATGGTTAAAACCGTTTTGGTTTTTGTACGCGTATCCCGTTGCACTTTAAACACATTACACAGGTACTAATACAGGTAATAATAATGATCGGAAACGCGACTTTTAAGTATGCAAAATCGTTTTGTTTTTTTTTTTTTTTTTTGTAGAACTTTTATACGTACATACCTATATAGATATAGATACTCGCATTGCTTTTAAAATAGAAAAATATCTGACACGAAAAACAACAGCCAAATCATATATTATACATCGCAGTATAAATAATTTTACCTTTTATCAGACGCGACTTCGAGAAAACAAACGAAAACGGATATAAATTAAAAACACGATAAGTCACTACCGAACTATACAACTGCACGTTGGTTACTAGGCCTGTGCGGAGAGCGAAATGCATCGTGCGTGACCATAACACGCACAGTTCCTCTCCTCTTATTGTGTCGGTTTTATGCACCTGTCGGAGGGGCACTGAGCCGAAGACTCGGTTTTATAGCCACCGCGGTGCACCGTTTTTAATGGTGAATTTCCACGTCGAAATCGTTAGTCACTCGCCAGCACTCCGCACTTGTATTCGACTCCTCATTACAATAATCATAAGACGCGTTATTGTTTATATTTTAACAACAACATCAAGGAGTCTTCCCTCGAGAATAGTATAATATTCACAAATACATACGCTAGCGAATCGGGGAATGTGTCGATTTTACTACGATTCGTTTTTATTTTTATTATTTTACACTTGTAAACTAATTTTCTACCCAAAATCACGCTTTAAACCAAAACTTTGTAGGGACTTTCTTGTCGAATTTTTCGTTGATATCTGGGTTACCTTGGCAACGAGGGAAACAATATGACTAATAATATTCTATTCAAAACCATTTAGCAATGATTTATCATTGCGTACTGGTATAAATTAATAAATTACTATTACTTATTCTCCCTTCCGAATTTTCACACCCAACAGCATTTTACCTGAAGTATCAGCCTTTTTTTGTTTTTGGTTTTTTTAACAGATTTTGATCAGAAAAAGTATACAAGGCTACATTTATAGGTACCTGCGATAGAATATACTTAACAATTGTAAACAACGAACAGTAGGTATTTTAAAGAGATAACTTTTGAATTTCAACAATCTAGTTAGAAACCAAATACATCGGTAAAATGGACGGTTGGGATTTTTAAACAAGTGTGACAAACGTTTGGCACACGCACACTCATCAGTCGTTTCAAAACGCTTATAATATTATAACTTCCTGATAAATATTCAAGTATTTTATTTTTTTGGGTTAAATAAATTTATCCACAGAGTACCTATAGAATAAAAAGGACGTAAAAAACTCGCAACATTAAAATTTCTATACGTAGCTTTAAAATAGTTAAAATGTTTTAAAAAATGTATCAAGTTTAGAAAAGGCAAAATTAATTTTTCTGTCAAAATTTCATGTCTACGTGAATATTTTTTACTGAATCACAAAAACAAAAAAAAAAAACAAAAATATAAAAAATAGGTACATTTCCTGGAGTTTTTCCAATATATGGGGAAAACGTTAGAAAAACGATAAAATAGGGTACAATATTAAACAAATATTCTCAAAGAAAATATATAGTACAATATATGTAATTATTTTACCGCAAGATGACACATATATATTGTTGACAAAGCAATACTATTAACCGATCACTGCTCAGAATCGTTTTTCGTTAGCAAAATATATACATTACATTTTCCCTCTGCTTTCTCAACTTCTTACTGTGACCAACCCATCGTGCGAAGTATGTCCTTATAATTTTTAGTTATTTAGATATAATTTTTTGAAATGGTTTGGCTTTGTAAATTAGTAAATTAGTAAATTTTGTCTTGGGTAATAACCAAAAAAAAAAAAAAATTAAGAGTACCCATGTTCCGTTGTTGTTTTATACGCGTTGGATATTAAAATTGTTGACGTAACTTTGTGTAAATATTTTGTAGCTAGTCAAAAAATGAATACAATTATCAATCAACAAATTGTAAAACTAAGCGCCAATTAGAATCGTATTTCGATGGTAATGATAGGTTAGGTTACTCCAGTATCGTTTTATTTTCGGACGATATCTGCCCGGATTTATAAGGAACTGCGTATAGGCAATTTTTACGCAGTTTTTGAAAAAAAATTAAAATTTATCACTTCTAAAATTTTCAAATTTACTTTTAAAATACATTTAAAAGTATTCCCGTGCAATTATCACAAGTAATATGGTTGTGTAATTTTGAAACAAATTGAAATGATTTCGGAGAAACCGTTTGGCGCGTTAATTTTTTCGGTATAAATTTATTCAATACTTAGTAGGTAGCTGATAGGTACTATAATACATGTTATTGTATGTTATTCGAGTTTGAAAAAGTTAAGTTAAAACTATCAGATTTTACAATAATAACATATTTTTTTGTACTTGAGGTAATGAAAAAATAAAACTAATAAAAGCGTGTGACGTATGTGCACAAGACACAAGTATTCCTTTTTTATGCTGAAAATTAGATTTCTATGGTGCCGGTTTTTCAAATTTTGAAAAAATTAAAAATTATACTTAACACTTTACACTATTAATACTATTAGCACATGATCATTAACTGAGAAAAACATGACGAGTAGGTACCAACTTTGAAAATCGAAAAATTTCCTCGTCGGTACCTGAACGATTTTAATTGTTAGTAGTTTTTAGTCGATGTAATTTTTTGTTTTATTTTTTATTTTGGATTCCGGGCGGGACAAAGGATCTATTGGTTTAACTATAATGTGTGTGATAAAATAACTTTTGAAACAGAAAACTTGTTCCGAACGAAAAAGAGACCTATTTCGTTGCATTTTGAATCTAATTGGTGAGCAAGAAAATTTTCCGCGGAGTTTTCTGAATAATTGAGCAAAAACGAGAAAAAACGGAGAGAGCACGGGAAAGTCTACTAAAATAATATTAAAGTTTCGATATTTTAAATTTTGTTGTAATTCGGTTAGTGATATTCACGGAGACTTGACATTTTGACAAAAACTTATAATTAAACATTTCTGGACGTGATGACGTTTTCAAAATATTTTCGTCCTATTCATAAGTCCCGTTTACACTATTTTTTCGGTCTACGTAGTTTTTTTTTTTTTTTAAACAGATACTATATGGATAAAAATTTTTCGACCGAAAAAAACGCTTGGAAATCGTGCAGAAAGTTCATTAAAAGTCGTAGGCGGATACCGGGGAACAGTGCACATGGATAAAATGGTTGGTGCGCACCTCGACATCTTTTAAAACACCTAGCGGTTACCGAGGCCGCTTGATAATATTCAGATAACGCGGCGGGTTTCGCGCCACATTTCTTCTTCCCGCCGCGCGTCACTCGCGGCGCACGTCGGGGGACACTCCGCTCGCCGTCGGCGTTCAATAGTCATCGGCCACTGGTCCGCTCGGCTCGGCGTCTCGACCGCTCCGCCCGCTCGCCCCTCGCACCGACGCCGTTCGCGAAACATTGTTTTCCGACCCCCAAAATATTAATTATGTACAATCGATTTTCACCCATTAATGTCGTTTCAACAAATGCGTGCTCGCCCGTTCCCGCGCCACAAGCAGTCAGCCGGCGAGCAGCCTGTTTAATGTTGTTGTGTCGTAAATAAACGTTTGTTTTTTACTTCATCATTGAACCACGGGTGTTTTGGCGTAACCCGCCGAAATGACAATTAAAAACAATCGGCTAATTGATTTTATCAATTAACCGAAACGTGATGACGTTATAATTATTATCTATCCGTCAATTTAGGAACACGCGAAAACGCATGCGTTCAATTGTGAAAACTGTACACGCGCACACTATAAATATCATTCAGTGTAACTGTTTTGTTTTTTGTACGACCGATAATACTGTTGTACGGACAACAATTGTCCGTGCTTCAAAATAAACGTATGTTCATGAGTTGTACGTGTTATTGATTTGATAATAAATCGTTTTATAACGAAACGTATAACGGGGTAATGTTGCGCGTTTGTTCTGGGGTAATCACGCGCACTACAAATGCACATCATTACCCCCGTGGAATGTTACCATTAATTCAGAATCGTTTCAATCGATTGAAATGTTTGTTTTAAACTATTTATATTAATTATTTAAAATAACCATTTATTTTTGTTAATCTTAATAAACGTTTTATTTGTTGGTTTGACAATCGAAATGTATTTTTATTATCTACATAGGTATGATTCGTGTTTATAATTTTAATTTTTTTCTCAACGCTATACAAATGCATTGAAATTAAATTATTAATTAAAACGTTAGACATTACTATACGCTCGCGATTCCCCCGTGTATTATTCAACAGTAAAAACGGCGCTCATAATTACCCCCAAATAAAAATGATAATGCGTATCAATTGGGTAATGATACGCATTTCTTTTTTTTCTTTTACGAGTTTTTTTAAAAAAAAAAAAAAACGACAATTAAGTCCTGAGAATTAAAAAAAAAAAACTTTTATTAATGCGTCAATAAATAAAATGGAAACTATTTCAAACTAGTGTGACATTTTCCTTAAGCGCGTGTCGTTCCCTCGTGTTCCCACATGGTGGTAAAATAAAAAGAAAAAGTAGAATGTAATGCAGTCATTTTTCATTTTCTCATGGTCTTAAGATCAAATTTCGACGAAAATCGTAAATAATACGTCATTCGTATCATCTACTGCTAAACGGACTTCGCTCAAAATGGTTTTTCGTTGATAATGGTTAATTGTTGTTTACAGATACATTGTTAAATAACTTTATGCACCCTACCTTGCTAATTACCCAACAACTACAACAATGGCGCACCGATCAGCTGCAGCATTAGATATGTTTCCTAATAAATCGGGTACACAAAAAAAAAAAAAACGATTTTTGGATTTGTCGAATACTTGCACTCTTTCTGGCGGACGTTAAAATACGTAGTTCGTGTTACTTATAATAGTGTTGCTTACAAATGTGTTCGTCGAGAAATAGTATTAAACATGACCGGCAGATCGTGTAAGTGGCGGTGCCAACCGTAGTACTGTACGGTAGATAGGTCCGTAGAGTAATACGGAGAACTCTGTGCGATAAAAATTCAGTTATTGTTTATATATGATAAGAAAATGTAATAATATAATTGATAAGAGAGGACTTATGAATTAGCTATGTTTTTTTGAACCGAGTGACTACAACCACTTACTAGTAACATTGATTTTTGCAAAACACAATTACAGAATTATCGATTGTGCTTCATGCGATCGAAATTGAAAGTTCAGTTAATTTTTAAAATTTCTTAATATGAAATAGGTACCCATTTTTAATGAAAAGAGAAATTGTGTGTTATTTGTAGTCGTTTCCTCATCCATTAAACATAATATTGCTTAGGACGTAGGTAGGTATTAATATTAAATTCATTTATCCGCAAGATTGTTTACAGTGACCTCAAGTTGTAGGCTATTTATTATTTGTTTATTAATCAAGGTTGTCTTAAGTGAAAATTTGTCACTTGACTCGAAACGCACACACACACAAAAAAAAAAGGAATAACTATGATATCAAAAATTAATGCAGCTATCAAACAAAACGATTTTCAACAAGTAAAAATATTAGTCGAAGCTATTATTGAAGAAGTAAGTGACATTTTGGAAGTATTTAGTACACATATGTGTTCTTAATATCTACATTGTTTGTAGCACAAGGATACATTTGTTTTTGATGCTCTTCACGCTAACGAAACGTTCAAAGAGTTGTGGGAAGTTATGTTCCTGTGTTTGACGGCAGACACTAATAAATATATTTACAAACAATGTTTAATGTGCATTCGACTTTTGAGGTAAAGCACGCGATCACCATGTATGACATCATAATAATATAGTTGATTTGTTAAATTTTAATATAAAAACAAATTTTTAAATCTCATTAAATTTCATAGTGTTTGCATAATAAGCATTTGTCTAGTTATTAAAAATAATTATGTAGTTAACTTGAGTTATTAGATAGTTGCAAAATACAAAAAGTACTCAATAAATTACTATATTTTAAAGGAATTGGAGCATGAACTAAACAGTATAACTACACAATTTTTGTGACATCGATACTAATTAGTTGTATACGAGTTAGAAGAAGAAAATTAGTGTACTCAATCTGTCATCATCTTATATAATTTAAATATGTGCATAATCCAGTAAAAATCGAATAAATAATAATGTGATTTTTTAGAGTATTACCAATCTTGGGTACATATCAAATAACCATTAAGGCTGTTACTTACATAATACTAACATTTTAGAAAAATTTATTTCTTGAAATATTAAAAAATAAAATCATGGGTTGATGTTAAAAATGATAAGTCGATTAAATTGGAAAAATACCAAAAAGTGTCAACAGTTTTTATAAAAATAAATAGAAAGTATAAAAAAAAATTGGACATACTTTGCACGATGGGTGGCCATTGTTGTGAGAAGTTGGGAAGGTAAAGATGAAATTTAATGTATATCTGTACGCAATAATTAATGATTGCTAATGAAAAATTATTTCTAGCCAAGTAGTACCATCCGAGTCAAATTTCCTTTCAGGCACTTTATTTGAAAATCTGAGCAAAATTTTAGGTAGAAGTTGTTTACAGGAAGAAAAAAAAACATCACTGTAAAACCAATACGTTTCTCGCTCCTCTCAGAATCTAAAATAATTGAGAAATAATAATTATTGACTCAGTTTATAAATTTCCTTTATGGGTTACAAGTTTAATTTTAATTTTTAGTATATTATATAAATTTGTACATCTTTAAATTTAATTCCAATGGACTAGAATGTTTAATACAAATCACATATTCTATTAAGGATAATTTTTTATTTTTCTCTACATTATATTAATAGAAATTTGTCTTGCATTGGTTTAATTGGTTAATTTATTTTCTAATTTTCAGCCGAGATAAAACACATTTAAATGACATTTTAACTGAAAACCATGTTAACATTCTACTCGAATGCGCCAATCTTGTTGAAGATTCATTGTGTATATTGATAACAGCTGAAAATACCGATGGTAATTTAATACAGAGTTAAAACAATAATAATTTAAATTTTATAAGAATTGTATTTACAGTTATTGTTGAGGGCTTGAAATGCCTGTGTAATATTGTGTACAATTGTAAGACTGCACAAGAAGTGTGTTGTAGTAATAAAACTGTTGACTGTATTATACTCAGATTGAGAACATATTTCGAACAGAACATTCCATATGTCATTAAATATTTTGATATCAAACTTTTGTTTCTTCTGACTGCATTAAATAAAGAAATAAGGTATTTAATAATATATCTTTTTTTCTTTTTTTTTTAAATATATATTTATTTATATCTTTTTTATTGATTTTCAAGATTAAAAATTACTGAAGAATTGCATGGAGTCACATACCTTATGGAAGTTTTAGATAACATATTACGGGATACTATCGATGATGCTTGGAAAAATAATTCGTCTACCTTTCAGGTATGCTATTTTATTTGCCGCATAAAAGAAAATATCAATAATTTATTATACTGGGGATGTTTGCAGGAAGAAAATGTGTTGCTAAGCTGTGAGATATTAAAAACGTTGTTTAATTTGACAGTGATTCCGAACAATGAATCGTCCGAAGAAGATGACTATTCCATTTGGATTAGACTGATTTCCATACTACGTGATTTACTTGTTACTTCAACTTTTGTCCCGATATTTCAAGACAATATTGTTTGGTAACTTATTTTTTTTTCTGTATGTGGAATATGAAGTATAATACTTATATACAAATAATTAATTATTATTTTATTAGCAATGTTGTGAACTTGTTGACAAATGTACCGCCAACCTGTTTGGATCAACTGTTCGTTAAAAACCATTGGTGTGATGATATCGACGCTTTAAAAGTCATAATAGATTTCCTCGACAGTAGATTGTCTAATACAGAAGTATGACTTTTTATTAGGTTTAAAAGAAAACAATACAGTACATTGTTTACTATGGTGATTTTAGAATCCAGTTTATGAAAATATTTCCCCTGCGTTGATGGTTTTACTAAAAGGGTCGAGGTCTATTGCGAAATTTCGTTGTGAAGTCCGACAGCACATTTTACCTCCGTTGAAAGATGTTATCAATAGACCTGAACAAGGGAATACATTGCGTAATAAATTGTGTCGTTTGCTTACCACTCCCAATGTAAGTCTACGTGACTTGGTTGCCGAACTACTATTCGTTTTGTGTAAAGAAAATGGTATATTAAACTATATTTGTTTGATTATTTATTTGAAATAGTATGTTTAATTTAAATATAATCACATGGTTTTTAGTGGGTCGTATGATCAAGTACACTGGATTTGGGAACGCAGCTGGTCTATTTGCGAACCGAGGATTACTTTGTAAAACATCAAATCCAGATTACTCGTCAAATAGTGAAGACAGTGATACAGAAGAATACCTGACATACAAAGACCAGTAAATTTGTTGTTTAATAATAGTGTATTAACACTTAATATATACAATTTTATTTTTATGAAAACCATTTTATTTAGAATAAATCCAGTTCTTGGTTGCTATGAACCACCCAAACCTAATCCATTTGAGTGTATGTCTGTCGAACAACAAGAGCATGAAGTTATGCAATTAGTGTCCAAAATGGATAAACTCACTCGGTAATGCCAATGTTTATATTATAACGTAATTTAAATTATGATTCTATCAATCTATTTTATTTTTTAGAGAAGGAGTAATACAACCATGCAAAATTGGTGATGACGGTCGTCCAAAACCCATCGAACATGTTCTTCAACTTCAAGAAGAATTAATGAGTCATTTTAATAACATCAAAAATAAAGATAACCCAGATGATGGAAGTGATTAAGTCATTTAAATATACATATTTATTAATTTCAATGAAAAATGTATACCTACTCAAACTTGATACTTGCATAGTACCTGTTTACTAATTAATAATTAGCAATAAGTTAACAAAATTACTTAATAGTAGATTTGACCAGTCAAAATTCTTTTTAGTTAATTGACCGGTCAAGTATGGTCAACTAATGTCACATTTTATTTTGATAAAAATTATAAAATTATCATATTCTTAAATCTAAAATACATTTTACAATTTATAATTTTTACTAGAATTTTATAGAGAATATTTTGAAATTATTAAATATTATTTATTCAACAGTGTTTAATAAATTAACAGTGTAGTCTGGACAATAAATTACCTAAAATTAATTTGTGGTTAATTGACCATATTTTAACCAGTTAAATTCTCTGTGTTAATCTTAAAAAGTAGTTTTTCGGAGGTTTTTTTAATAAGGCTGTTTTTAATAATGCATTTATAGTCTTAATTATTAAAATTGAGTCATTCGAATTTGCCATCTAGTAAATTTAGTCAAGTAAATTATGCAACTAAAATAACATAGTTAGTAGATTTTATTAGACCAAAAGTTTATCATGCATTATATCAAATAAATAAATGTAATGTTATTTTTCACTTCATTATTTATATGATTCTAACACCGTGACTTAATTTTAACCTTTTAGAACCATGAAAATAAATTACATTTATTATTTATTCATAATAGAATTATTAGTATTGTTAGAGTAAACTAATAATACTACTATTAGAACAACCAATTAATATTGTTTTTGAATATTATTGCTCATTGTCTTGTATAAGTACAATAATTGTATTTAAAATTTTAAATATGTCGTAACTTAATTATTCTTGTTATTTTATATTTTTGTGCACTCTACTAAGCTTATTTTATTTATTTTTCATTTACATAATTTATCTATTCATTTTATACACGATTAATATTTTAGTTTCTAGTCAAATAATTAGGTTTAATGTACCTAATTACTTTAATTGTGTATTTCTTTACGTATTTAATAAAGATGTCAACCAAACATTTTACAGGGTTCAATGAAATGGATCAATATTAATTTATTAATAAAAAATATAGCATAATATGTCTATAATTTTTTAAACAATCAAACAAATTTTAATTGTTATTTCAAAAAACATACTTAAAAAAATATATTTACCTGATATTATTGTATTAAAAATATTATAATTAATCATTCAATATACACATACACAATGATCTGTAAATTCTTAAACTATTATACAAATCTAATATTCTAAACTCCTCTTACCTAAATAATTAATTAGATTTATACTGTATAAACACTATATAACTAAATCTGATATTTATTATATTCATGACGTGTTTTCAAAATAGTATATAAGTTTTAAAGTTTGCAATTTAAGATTGTTTTTCAAATTAAATAACTTCTGTATGTGAACAAATTATTTTATTTCAGTATTATTCAACAGTAACATCAACTAAATAAACTACAAATATACAGTAAAGTAAAGCTATTGAATTGAATTAAAACTTATCTCAAATCTTTTAATAACGTTATGTTTTCATTACTATCTAAACTATTAATTTTATTATCTGGCCAATAATCGTCGGATTTTCGTTCACGATAGTTGTATTTTATATAATCCGGCTTCTCCTTGCATATGGATAAGTATGCTTCACAAATTCGACCAAAATCGCTGACAGTTAATTGAAACGGCCTCGAGTCTGGTTCTATTCCTGCGGTGGTTAACAATTCCTTAGAAAGTTGGTCTCTGACTGGTTTTGGAAAAAGAGTCCTTAAAAGAATAAGAAAATAATTAAAATAAATTATTTTATTTGCCCAGTTAAAATAAACAATATTCACATAAATTAACTACTTAGTTCAATTTAGTTAAAAAATAACTATAATTGACTAAATATAGTACCTAATAATATATTCATAAAAATTAGTGAATGTTAGAACCTAAATTTATTGAGTTTGATTATTAGTCATTGATGTTCACTGAATATCAAACTTTACAAAGAAAATTATATAGCATTGTTTATTTTTTCATAAAAATGTATTTAAATATTTTCCATTAAGTAAAACTATTGTACTATATAAATACATACGCATAGATTATAAAAAGATAAATTATTGAATTTACTCACTCGATACCTCGAATACAATGTTTTTGTCTGTAATTAAACACACAACGAATGACTTTTTCGATAATATCAAAAGGTAAATTAATAATTGGTTTTTTTAGAGGTGTAAGACGCACAACGCCCACATCAACATCTGGTTTTGGAATAAATGCTTTACCTTGAACAATTAAAATTAATTTTAGTAAAAATATAAGGCAAGATCTTTTTTAAAATAATAGTTTTACCTGGAATATTAAACTTATGTTCAACTCTACACCAATTTTGACACATAATTGAAAGTCTGCTTCTTTCTTTAGTCATTATTGGAGCTACCATCCTTTCCGCCACTTCTTTTTGAAATGTTAATGTCATACGCACTCGTCCATACCTCCATGCACTTTTTCTAAAAGTTGATAAGCATAATTTTACATAAGTTAATTTCCTAAAAAATTAAATAAAACGTTTAACTTACTGTTCAGATACAGCTTTTAACCATAAAATAATAAGTGGTGTTGACACATTGAAAGGTAAATTTCCAATAAGATGAATTGGTGGACATTTACCTTCCCATTCCATTTTATTGTTTTCATTGAACATTTGTTCCATATTAAAATTCATTACATCGCCAAATATTAATTCCAATGGCACTGGAGATGATTCGGCTAACAGCTGAGATAAATTAAAATTTTACTAGAATATCAGAAAACCAAAAAAAAAAAAAAAAAAGGAAAACAATTAAACACTAACCTCCAAAGATGGTGTGAACCGTTTGTCTTTTTCTATTACTAATACTCTAGACGGCATATTTTGAATAATTGATCTTGTTATGTTGCCAGGACCAGGGCCGACTTCACAAACTTCACAATCTTTCAGTGGTCCTGCTGACCTAACAATACGACTTAACAATCGTGGGTCCATTAAAAAGTTTTGAGAAAGTTCTTTCAAAGCGCGTAGTTTATATAGTTTAATTAAATCTCTGATGCTGGGCAAGGGAGGTAGCCGGATTATCTGAGCTACTGACATTTTGAATTATGAATTATATATTCTATTATTGTTTGATAACCACTTGTGGTTCTTCGAAATCGTCCAAAAATGTTTCCTGTTTTATTGAATAAATGGAATACCCGTAAATGCTCAATGCAATTCCACTTAATATAAAACCTGTATAACGGGCGTTTCTACGCATACGGTTTAATCTATTAGCGCGTGCTAGATTCTGACGTTCTGCAAATTTTATCTGTTGTAAAATTCCCTTTCCAATACCGTCTTTAGAAAAATCAACTTGGGGCATCTGGTTACTATTGTCCATAGCAAATTAAATTTTCCGCTTACTTGATTACCTGCTAAGCAAAAACTGAGTCAATATAAGTGAAAACATTAACTTTTAGACATTTCATCAAATATTGAAATAATTTCTAAAAAGTGCTGGAATATATTTTTATAACCTAGTAAAATAACAATTACCTAATTAAAATATTTGAATTTTAGTTTAACATATTATAGATCAATTTTTAACTACTTCATCTATAGGTAGATCACATTTGAATAAAGGTCAATTTTATTAGATAGGTGAAGTTCTGATAAATCTTCAAAAGTAATCTACTCATCTTTATTGATAGAATAAAGAAATTAATATACGATTCTATCATAATTCAAAATTTGTATTATTTAATAATAAACAATATAAATGTATACCATCAAAATAATCCTAACCAAGAAAATAGAATATATCATAAATATTGAATTCATACATACTGCAACGTCCGTAACAAATCTGATATCAATTCCATAAACAAAACAATTGTACTTATAATTGTTCGAGTTAAATAATATAATCTTAAAGACTTCACAAAAGTTAAATAGGTAGGTAAGTACCTAAGTAATTAAATCGGTGTCCGGTGAATTCCTCAATGAGGTTTTTTAGGGCTTATCCTTATCTCGTTTTAAGTACATCCTTATCTATTTTAACTATAATCATTGTCAGTAATGATATCGAATTTTTATATATTGTTTTATACATAGATCGCGCTAGCTATTCGATTGTCATTAGAATGTTATTTTGAAAACTAGCAAAATAATATAGGAGACGTCGTGAGACGCGCAGTGTCGGCTTTGATCAAACTTTAAGGGGGGGGGAGGGGTGACGGTAATGGATTTAAGAGAGGCCTAGGAGTATAGCCCCCCCACCAACACTCCGCCAAGTCATCCGACATTTTTAGATACGTAGATAATTCAAATTAACAACAAAGCAATTTAAGATCAGAAAGGTACGTATAATCGAAAACGAATGTATTTTCAAAATGTCCCTAATTAAATAAGTCATATTATTTCGGAGAAAAAAAAAAAATCGATATTTCTTTTTTGACGGACGTCTTTTTGTACATTCAAATACTCAAATTTGATTCGTCTAACATCAATTGATAATTCTATTTTATTTGCGGTCAAATCTCTTACAATCAATTGGTATAGGTGCCGTTAAAGCCAATAGCCGGTTTGTTTTTCGTTTTAACGAGTCTCTTTCCATTATGCCTTCAATAATATTACTAAGCAATGGAATGTATAACGACCCAAGATGTAAGTATTCTTCTGTGGAGTCACTTGGTGTGTTCAATCTATGATCCCGACGTGTACACATTCGGGGCGGGTGGTATCGAATCATATACTTTCCGCAACTTTTGTTGTGTGCCGAACGTAACTAGACTGCTAACCGCGGTAATAAGAAATGAAGTTTTCACACTTGGCGCACGGACCGTTTAATCGCGTTTCGTAATATTATTATAATCTTCAATATCTGTGTAATATTGTTAATAATCGCTGCGGTAATAATGGTTAGGTGCCAAACGTTGACCCGGTGTAGATTTCGACGCAGATTCCCGAAATTATCTTCTAAGTGCGCACAACGGAGTAATAATAATACAATTGACAACCTACGTATTTAGTTTTTGATTGAACACGTTATAGGTATAAAAATTAAATAACTTAAGAAAAAGAAATGAATAATAAATAGGGGGAGAGCGGGACAAGTTGATTACCTTAAGGTTTTAAATAGTGTTATCCTGCTAAAACAAACGGTTCCGTGTTCTCCGTTTTATTTTACAGGCGTTCTTTAGTACACTAAAGTATACTATGTGATATACTGCTAACGACTACCGCTGAAAAAAAAAAAAAAAAAAAACAAATATAATTAGTTATGTGGTTTATTGCAGAAGGCTTACTGATCGCGGGCCTACATTTTTTATTATTTTTTTTTTTTTTTTATTTAAACGCGAAAAACAAACTAATGATAACAGAAGTCCGTACGTTATCGGATAGCGATTCGAACGGGTATAATTATTATATACACCATCCGTGTATATCCGAATACCCCGAAAAATCACCGCTCGATGTCGCAACGAGTATTTAAAACCGAATCGATCAATTTGTCACGCACGCCAATCCGCACCGCTCCCCCCCCCCACTAATCAAACAATAAACCAATTAATAAATATCGCGCGCGCTCGTGCGCGTGTGTGTGTATGTAAATATTATATGCGAGGTATCGGGTCACTTTCACCCGTCCGTTTTTATAAAAAAATTGAATCTGTACGGATCGCGTAATTGATAACAATGTGCGTTGCAATGAAACGCATTGAAAAAAAAAAAATAAAAAAAAAATACAAATACAATTAAATATTATCAATTGCGTTTGCATTAGTGACGGTGAAAATCGAATTAACGTCGCCGCGACAACAAACCGCGAACAAACGCGGACGCGGCGCGAAACAGAATGAATCGCACGGGCCGTAAGTCTGCCGACAGTCCCGGCGCGGTCCGGGCGTCACCCCGCACCTCGTTGCCACTGCGGCCGGGCCGATTTTTAATTCTGACGCGGAATGGTTCGGACGTGGTTTAAAGCAGGCCTGGCCTGCCAAAGTGGTTCGGCGGACGGAGCGCGGATTCGCGGAGCGGACAACGATGTCGGACGGTGTGCTTTCGACGCCGTAAAGGCGCGCGTGCACGAGTTCCACGAACCTTCCGGTCGCCCGTCTCACGGGCTCTGGCGCGACGGTTTTTTTATTTTACCGCGTGTATGCACTACAAGTATGCCGCGTGACGATACCGCCAGGTGGCCGTTTAGACTCGCATCCGCGCCGACGAAACACCGGAATTGATGTTTGTAGGCAATACGAGGTTTGGCTGTTAAACAACGAGACTGCGCGCGCAGAGAGCGTCCCAAAAAGGTTAGGGGAAAACCGAATACACCGCTGGTTAGCCGGAAGTGTCTATTACGCCAGTACAAAACTGGGTTTTTGTTGGTGCATTGGTATTTTTTTCTGTAGCGTTTAGAGACGAACGTGTTTTTTTCTCTTGCCGAAAACCATGCGTGAAGAAAAACACGAGCAACGGATAAACGTAACATTTTCTCGTTAAACTAAAAAAAAACTCCAACTGAGTGCTATAAGTTGTTAAAAGAGGCCTATAGTGAGGATTTTCTATCTCGGGCGCGTGTTTTTGAGTGGCATAAATTATTTTCTGAAGGTCGAGAGTGCACCGGAATCCAATTCAGTCGTAATCCAAATTCAAAACCATGCTGATCGTTTTCTTCGATATCAACGGCATGACCGAATGGGTTCCAGAGGGTCAAACTGTGAACCAACATTACTATTTGACAGTTTTGGAAAAACAAGTCGAGGATCTTGCACCAGGATAACGCACCTGCCCATAACGCGCTGTCTGTGAAGCGTTATTTGGCCGCTTAAGGCACTCCAGTACTCGAACACGCGTCTTACTCACCCGACTTGGCACTCTGCGACTTTTACTTGTTTCCGAAGATAAAGTCTGCCTTAAAAGGAATCCGGTTTGAGTCGATGGAAGAGGTGAAACAAAAATCGGCGGAACTCCTGAATGGTTTTACGAAAACAGACTTCCAGCATTGCCTCGAGCAATGGAAGAAACGAATGAAACGGTGTGTGAAGAGGGGAGGAGATTATATTGAAGGGGACATTTGGTTGTGGAATAATTTTTAAAATAAAACCGTTTTTCATAAGCAGTCTCGTTATTTAATAGCCAGACCTCGTATTTGTACCGTTCCGCGGCGGGGTCGTCGAATTCGTATAGCCGTCAGACTGGGCGTAGGTACACAATTCGATTGTTTTTGGAATTTATCGAACGCCGGCTATTCGATTCCGATAATATTCCGGCTTTTCAATACAGTGGTCGCCGCTTATAGTGTCCGGAAATGCTGGGAACGGAACTAAAAGTAGTCACCGGTGCATCTTTCGTCGCTTGTCGTGTTCGGATTTTCGGTTATAGCGATCGGAAATATAAATTAAACAATAATACACAAAACGAAGACAAATCTGACGGTTATTAATTTTGCGAACCCAATCTAATCTTATGTAAGTGTAACCCGCATAAAGTCCCCCCGCCCGCCATAAACGAAATACGGTTTACTTCGTCACAGTGGTGCCGAACCTATAACCCAAGAGGGGCAGTCATCTTCTCTTTTTTCCGGTGGACAGTGGTCGGTTGGTCATAACGAAGGGGTGACTGTTAAAATTCACAGGGCATACGTTTAAGATAAAAAATTAACTTTAACCTCGATGATTGATATACACACAATTTAATACATTTAGGCATCGTGATAAGGTCACTTTTTGAAGTAGGTATGTATTGTTTACACATACATAATACATGTATAAATTTGTAGTGACACAAATTATTTTTTGCACAGCAATTAGTTAATTTCGTTTAAAACAACAGTCACGAATTGTAAACGTTTTTTAAGAACGGGAGGGGGGGCATTTGCTCCGCTCACCTTTGGATCTTCCGTGAATGGTGGCTGCGCAAACTGATTTTGCCCTCTCCCCCCCCCCTAATTAATTAGAGTTCGGCACAACTGCCTCGTCACGCCACGTGAAAATTAAAACGCGCGCCGACGGACAGGGATTCCGAATCGAGAGGACCGCGGTCGCGAAGTCGTCGGCGGAAGGTACGCGGGCCAACACTCCCGGACTTCGCGTATAGCCGCGCGCGCGAGGACCTCGGGTACGCGCAGTCGGATCGCGTATATATACAGATGTAATCGCGGACAGTATTTCTGATGCTTACGGTTATGGAAGTTTTAACTGAAATTTAATGCGACGAGCGCGTGTGCGTGTGCCCGTGTTCCGGGCCGAAATTGCCGGGCAGAACCCGGTATAATTTATAGCCTAGGATGCGATTTTCATTTCCTCTGCCAGCCGAAGCGCCCGTCTACACGCCCGCGCTAGCTACGGTACAACAACAACTACACCGGACGACAAAACTTTCCCGACCCCTTTATCCTGCAACTGTACGGTTCGGGTCTGTACACGGCCGTTTCGCCCTATCCGCCGATCCTTTTTTTTCCCGTTTTTATTTTCGTTCGTACAACCGAAAAATGAACAGAAAAAAAAAAAAATCAATAGACAGTATTTTGAACCGTTATGGAAAAATATATATGCATTCCAATATCCACTCGGAATTCAAAGCGTATACGCGGTATTTTTTGGGATAAAGGCTAACGATGGCTAATACATAATTATATGTGCACAATGATATTTTGACCGGTTTCCGAAAAAATTAAAAATAATTACGGCGTGCGATATTAATTAAGTATATTTCGAAGTAGCGCTGAGAACCAAATCCGGATAGATCTAATGAAACAAACGTTACAATCCGTTTAATCCGGACTGTTACCTTCAATTCGGATTATGGATACCAATCTAGATAGTGTTTAAAAACAATAATTATTTTATTTTATTTATAATTTTTTTTTCTTATGTAAATCTATTTTTAAAATTTTTTAATAACTCACAAAGTGTATGTTACTTTAAGTTACTACTTATACGTTTTTCTGGACTGTTATAAGTTAAGAAATTGAGAAAAACTCGAAAACCCTGGTATATATTTTGTTGTTAGGTGTCATATCACATTGAG